CGACCTAAAGGGAGCTAGCTGCGCGTGCGTGGAGTAGTCATCCTCCGCTCGACCAGATTGTTTTGAACTTTACGGAATTCTGGTAGCTGCGCTTACTTGCCCTATAGACCAGGCGGAGCCACAACTCAGGGGTCTGCTTGCCTCTACCTCCCGAGTGCTGTGATTCACTATGCCCTTTCCTCCGCTCTGGTTCTTGTTGTGGCCACTGCTTAGAAATCTAAGGTAGGACAGTGAACAAACCTGAATGGTTCCCTCAGCCTCCCATGAGCTAGGATTACAGGCGTGTTCCACCACACCTGGTTTCTGGAAGTTAAATTATAAACGACAGAGGTGGGAGATACACATTGTTTTAAGGGGACTAAAATGAGCCGTGTCATTCTAAATGGAGTGGCCTTGGATGGGGGTGTGGCTCCTTTTGTGCCTATACCAGAAACCAAAGAATAGTCTTGGTGCCTCACCAAGGATACACGAACAATAACTCGGCAAGGCAATTCTTTTTGAAAAAGGGTGCACCAGAACCCAAAGGGACTAACAAACACATCAGAGCAGGCGGTTCACGTGGTTTTTAATTTTGGTGACTGTGTCTTTTCCCCATTGGCTGGGGTCAGACCTCACAGCTGTTGACAGTTGTCCAATTTTTGTTTTGTTTTGTTTTGTTTTTCGAGACAGGGTTTCCCTGTGTAGCTTTGTGGTTTTCCTGGAACTCACTCTGTAGCCCAGGCAGGCCTCGAACTCACAGAGATCCGCTTGCCTCTGCCTCCCGAGTGCTGAGATTAAAGGCGTGTGCCACCACCGCCCAGCTACAGTGGTCCAGTTTTAAAACAAGGCACAAAGGGAATGGAAGAAAAAGGGGAAAGGATCAGGTCAACTGCTTTGAGCCATCTAATTCTGGTCAACAGCATATATGTGTGCGTGCATGCTTTGTGTGTGTGTGTGTGTGTGTGTGTGTGTGTGTGTGTGTGTGTGTGTGACACAGTTTTTTTCCTAACATCTAGCAGGTTCCAGCCCCAGCACCACATAAACCAAGTGTGGCAGCTCATGTCTGTAATCCCATCACCAGGAAAGTGGAAGCAAGAAAGCAGTTCAGAGCAATACTTGGCTACCTAATAGTTTGAGGCTAGCTTGAAATACCTGTTTGAAATACCTATTACATGTTTCCAAAAAATGGCCTTTGAATAGCTCCAAGTAAAATAAATGAAGACTGGTTTCACTCTGTTTATTTTGAAAGAGAAATAGATGAGATTTGCTGACTGAGATAATATGGCAAGTGTGGAGGAAGAAAAAGTAACACCCAAGATTTTTGGTTTCAACAGCTACTAAAATGATGTACCTTAGGGTGTAAGCATTGCGGCTCAGATGGAAAGGGATTCTGGCAATCAGGAGTCAAGGAATACTAAGTGTTACAGCTCGGATGGAAAAGTATTCTGGCAGTTGGAAGCCAAGGAATACAAGTCACAGTAAACGTAACAGTTTACATTCCTGCTCCAAGGAAAGGTTTCCCCAATGCAAACAGCTCTGCCCAGGCAGGGGAGGGCTTCCCCAGAGAAACTGTTACAGTTCTGCTTCCTAGGGGAAGCTTTCCCCAGCTTAAGTGTTACAACCTTGCTCCACTCTGCTCCCAGGAAAGAAGGTCTCACCCAAACCTCTTGCAAGAGGTTTATTGGGTGGGAAGAATCCAGGAGGGTGGCTGCCTCTGCCAGGGTGGAAAAAGGGCAGCAGCAAACTGAACAGGTACAGGACTTATATAGGGCTTCTTAGGGGCAGTGTTTTTTCCAAGGAGAAGTTTTTAAGAGTGGGAAATGGTCAGATTTCAGTCCTTGAGCTCAGATTGGCTAGATCTTGTGCTCAGAGATTGGTTGGTTTTCTGCTCAGGGATTGGCTAGTTTTCTTAGTTGGTCAGGAGCCAGATTTGGCTCTGGTTTCAGGGCGGAAGTGTGTTTCTTTCACTGGCCCTTTTAAGCCTTTTGGCTCTGATTTCAGGGCCAAAGCATGTTTCTTTCACTGGTTCTGATTCTAGGGCCAAAGTATGTTTCTTTCGCACTGTTTTCAGGTCAAGATGTATTTCTTTGGTTTGGGTTCAGGGATAAAGTGTTTCTTTCACTGGCTCTGGTTTCAGGGCCAGGGTGGGTTTCTTTGGCTGGCCCTTTTACTGTACATAGGAAAAGTTGAGGTTTGGAAGATGATTTGGAACAAGATGTAGGTGGCTGTAGTAAGTCTGTTTGCTGTTCATAATAAAATGTCATAGTGGGGCAAGATTTAAACAGCAAAACTTAGATAAGAAAGTAAAAGGGTGTGAGAAGGGGACCAGAAAGAGGGAGGAAAAACAAAGCATGTCTGTCGCTGTTTGTAGCTACACGGGTTTGTGGGTTCACAGGGATCCATGGAAAGAGGACTCAGAGGCATCTTAAGAATGAATGTAGCCTTTCATGGCTGCAATGGGGTCCAGCCTCGAAGGGCTGAAGCACTTTCCCTTTGCCTAGGGCATTTTTATTTTCCTTCTATATACAGTTTAGCCAGGTAATTCCCGTACCTTCAAAGCAACCTGAAAGGCACTCCCAAAGATAAAATGCCAAGTGCAAATTCCTTGATTTTTCAGGTACCTCGGTTTTCCAGGTTTCCTGAACCAAGTTTTGCATAGGCCTTTGATCCTTGGGACTGACTCTTTGATCCTTGACTCTCAGACAAGATTCACATAGGGCCATAAGAGAAACAAAAGGTTAAACAAAGGATGGATTAGGGCTAGGTGCTACTCTCTGGAACCAGGCCAGGAGTAGCTCAGCAGGAAAGCAGCCACACATGTCATATGTATGAAAATTTCACGATGAAACCCATTATGCTAACAAAAAAAAAAAAGCGAACAAGCAATAAAAAATTGGATTTTTTTTTTTTAAGGGAGCTGGGAAGATAACTTAGTGGGTAAATGTACTTGCTGCACAAGCTTAAAGACTTAATTTGGGATCCCCAGAACCTACATAAATGGGGCAGGCATGGTGTTACATAGCTGTGGTCCTGGAGCTGAGAGGCAGAGAAAGGAGAGTCCCTGGGGCTGACTGGCCAGTCTAGTCAATGAGCTCTAGATTTAGTGAAAAATCCTGTTGTAAAATAAATAGCTAAGGTGAAGTGGGGCTATGAGGAGATGGCTCAGTGAAAAGCACTTGCCACAAAGGTGTACGGATCAGAAGTTAGAGCTACGGAACACCCATGTAAAAGCCAAAGAGATAGTTCAATGGCCAGGAGCACTTGTTGCTCTTCCAGAAGTCCATGGTGTGCTTCCCAGCACCCACGTGGTGGCCCGCAGCCATCCCTAAATCCAGTTCCATGGGATCCAAGGCTTTCTTCTGACCTCTCAGACACCAGTCACATATGGCGTGGACATGCATTCAGCAAAACACTCATACAAATAAATCTAAACAAACAAAACAAAGCCAGGTGGGCCAGGTAACCTGCTTCTCATGATGACATGCAGGAAGCCGACTGTAGGTTCCTGGAGCAAGCCAAACCACTGGGCTCTGAATCAAATGAGAGACCCTGCCTCTATAGGTGGAGAGCAAATGAGAAGGGCAACTGCACACACACACCAGAACAAATGAGCAAAGTGCTAGAGGAAGCCACCTGACATCAGCCTCTTGCATCAGTGGGTACACACATACACACACCAAGCAAGCACAGGAGAGTGAAAGTCAGCTGAATTTGCAGACTCAGTTTCCTTTGGTTTATACTGCTGCTAAGTCTGTACTAAAAATGTGTCCAGTGTCTGAGAGCTGTCTCCATAGTGGCCATTTTCCTTCTTGGTGCCTCTGCTGGTCTCACCCAGCTTTGCATTCTATGGGCTAAGTAGGTTCTCACCCTCTAAAGACTTTGCAGATCATACCCTGGGGCGGGGTGGGGTGGGGGGATCCTACATTCATTGGGAGTGTGGAAGCAAGCACAGCACTGAAATCAGTCCAGATGGAGGACTGTCTTCCTACTTTCAAGCCTCTTGAGTATTATTAATCACACTGCTGGAGGGATTCAGCTGTGGCTGTCAAATGCATCCCTGGACCTTCAGAGTTCTTTCACTCTAGAAGAGTGAACCATAGATGGCTTCCAGAATTTGATTGTACCCACTGACCTCAGGATGAGTTATCCAACTCCAGGGTTCTTATTTGAGATCTGTTCTCAGACCAGCATGGACAAAGCTGCCTCTCCCTGTGCATTTCCCCACCTTAGTCAGCCCCCTGCTACCTGCACCCTTCAGTTTATCAGTCTCCAGCCCCAGAACTCACCACAGCTGCCTCTCTGGACCTTCCCTTATGCCAAGCAAATGACCCCTAGAGAACCTCAGGTTTTAACAAGAGTCCCTTCACAAGATATTGTGACAAAAATGGGAATTCTCTCTTCTGCTGGCCCATCTACCAGAGGAATCACTCTCTCACCAAACCCCACAACTGGAGTTGACACTCACGAGGGATGTAGGACTGTCCTAACAGGACTGCTTGGCTTTCATCTAGCTTTCCTTTTGAACTGGCATCTGAATCTGTCCCCTTCTGCTCCCCCCCCCCCCCATCTTTTTGTGTCCTTCGTGGCTTCCCCTCTATTTCTCTCCTTGGAATAAAGTATTTTTCTTACTCTGAATCTCTTTTACCAGATGCCTTGGATGGTTTTTGTTGTTTTAAATTCTTAATGTAGTCAGAGAACAACTCAGGGGTGGGTTCTCTCCCTCCACCATGGGTTCTAAGGATTGGATTCAGGTCCCCCGGCTTGTGTGCCAAGCACTTTAACCCACTGAACCCTGTGGGTTAAAGCACTTTAATCCCCCAGCCCTGTGCTTGTTTTTAATTACTACTACATTCAACCTGGGCCATCATGTCCACACAAAGATTTACTAAAGAGTCTTTATGGACATTATAGGCTTAGACATCGAGAGTTTCTAGGTAACTGCTAGGTGTTCCAAAGAGAAAGCAAGCAAGAAGAAACGTCCGTAAACACACTATGTCGAAGAACGTATCTGTACACACAAATCACAGTGGGAATAAATACCAGCTTTATTAACACTCAAAGTGCCATCATTTATGTCCATCCTATTGTCCAGAAGATTACTGATAGTAAGCCTCTGTACTACGATCCGTCCAAAGATGAACAGGAAAGAAAAAGTATGTCTCACTGTACTAAATATCGCAGGCCTTCATGCATGACAAATCTAAATAAAGATGTGTCAATAATACACAAATTGCCATATAAACAAACTCATAATCACTAACAAAATATAAACATGGTTTCTTTTATATTAAATTTTTAAAAAGCTATTTACCAGCAAGAGAAAAATACATAGAAATTATAAAACTCAAGAAGTTTTACACATTTTTTTACAATCACAATTTTGAATGAACAACAAACCCAAAAAGTGTGTGAAATGTGGCACATACTACATACACTGTGTCTGGCTTCTGGTAGGTTCTAATCACATGGGTTCCTTTCAACCTAATAAGCTTAGTGATAGTCAACTTCAACTGTAGACTTTATTCCTAACACAAATCATTTATAACACCACATACTTTTAGAAGGCTTCCATTGAACATTGAATACAGTAACATTGTCAGACGGGAAACCTAATTTCCAACTCTTTCTGCCGGCTGCTTAAAACACACAGTACAGTATAAAGACACACTGTGTATTTGGAGATTCCTAACACAATGGTAGTCAACTGTGAAGAATCACAATGCCAATGCATTGTTTCATAAACTCAGTCTAACTTTGCTCAGTAAGAGAAAAATTAAAACTTGAAAACTTTGGAAATAAAGGAAATATTCAAAAATAATAGCCAGACAGGTCTAAAGTAATGGAAATATAAAAATCTTGACATGTCTTCAAGACAATTTAGTTGCTCACATTTTTTAACAGCTCTGAGAAGTCAAATGCCATGTTAGTGGACAGTGTGTTTTGCTACTGCTTAACAATCCTGCATCCCACCCCCCAAAAAAGGATGTTAATTGCAAGAGTATTTTAACTGAGCTCTAAGCAAACTCTGTATCCAATTCTGGAACTACAAATGCTTAAATGGTTAAAACCAAAATTTAAAAAATAATTTTGACCAGCCAGATGAAAATATAGTATATTTATATATAGTAAATAATCTTTCAGAAAGCTTTTACATATATTTAATTATCATAAAGTTCTTTAAATTGTAGAAATGAAATGAAAACAAGAATTTACTAAGATATATACATGTACCTATACATGGAAAAGGACATCTCCACACAAACCCATAGCTCTTGATACAGAATACTTTCAACCTAGGAACTGATTCAGAATACAGGATAAACTTAGAATCCAACACTGAACTCCTGAGTTCCTCAACAAAGACAGAACCACACAAGGTAACTCTGCAAAAGCAAGAAGGTCCTACTAAGTACTGTAGCAGCGTCGTAACTGAGGGCTACATCTGGAAGAAGTGCAAACACGAAGACAGTAGTTCAATGCACACACTCATGATTCGCAGACACTCAACACTATTGGTCATATAAATCAGTGTACAAATTAAATGTTTGGAAAATGTGCAAAAAAGTCAACATTGGTAAGAAACAAAAAAATATTTATACATAATTACAAACTGCCCAGTATTCAACTGAGATTAAAAACATTTGCTGAAAATAATACATTAAATATAGAGAATTTAATGGATACATTTTAAATTTACATTAAGTCAAAGGGTAAATTTACAAATTGATAATCATAGTTTGTAAGATAAAAGTTTGTTTTCAAATTTATCCAAGTTTATTTACAATGAGTAAAAACAACCACATGAACTATAAGAGATGTCAGACGTTCAAAGTATTTTTGGTATTAACTTGGTTACAATATTTCAGAATGCAGGCTAATTTTAAAAACCAACAGCAATAGAAGAAATGTAAACCTTTTACTTACTAATTATAAAAAAAAACAAAACACAACTGTTTGTCTTTAAAGAAGTATTCTCCTCCCTAGAGAATGTGGTTTTAATTCATGAGGGTTTGGCCCACTTTCTTTTGCCCATGCGCCTTTCTGGCTTCTAGCTTCCCACTTGTCTACTCTCCTTACTGCAAGTGGAAAAAACAGTCTTTGGAAAAATAAGAACATGTCAAATAAAGCATCTACTAGAGTTTAACATATAATTACTTATCTTCCCTTCTAAGCAACGCTAATGCTAAAATCACTGATTACACTGGTTTTTTTTAAAGTTATAAAAGATACAAATAATAAACACAAAAGTGCTTTTCAAAGCAGTCATAAACTTTTCTCAACTGGCATTACAAGATTCAGAAATCCTAAGCAGGGGACAGATTCTGTAAGCTTTAAAGAACTAGAGAGCAGATGCTTCTGTACGTTCCAAATGTCTATGGCACAAAGCAGACTGCAGTTCATGACCTACTTTTCTTCACAGCATTGTCTAAATGTCCCTTAAGTCAAACACAGCTCATTAATGTTAAGACACTAGAAAGAAAATAAGCCACCAATCTGAGGAATCAGATGTCAATGTGAATCTACATACATCAGTGGTCAAAAGACATCAGTAAGATTGGCACACATACAAACTTAAGTCTGCAAATCTATATAGCTCCACAATAGTTGAAGGAAATTCTGCATGTCTAAATGCAAACACTGAGCACCTGTCCTTTTCCTTGAAGGATAGATTGGCATACAAATTCTACTAGCATCTGCTCTACCATTTATGTACTCTTAGCTTACACATGGGCAGATTTAACAGGGCTAGTCATTTTGGCTATATGTGCAGGGAATACAAAAGCTTTGGTTTAAAGTGATTCTGGTAATACAGACTGAGATACAAACATCATCAGGCAGAAGGACAGGAGTATTCTCTTATTTAATGTCTTCGCTGTTAGGAAACAATACCTTATGACTAATACTTTATGACTGTCTATTAAAATACACAAACACAAAAACCATGAATTATATGAGACTGTATACAGGCAATGGATACAATTTATTCATTTCTTTACTATAGCTATAACTCCTCCCTTACCTTCCTGAAGCTCAACCTTGACCACTTTTAGTACCTCTGAGAAACGAAATGTCTAGGTTCCCCTGAAAACTTATCCTCTCCAACTCTGAACAGTGAGAATGGAGAGAAGGATGGCCCTGGTATTTCCACAGCTCTTATGGCATCCTGTCTGGACAATGGGAGGAGTCAAAGCAACACGAAAGATGACTAAGAAGTAGGAACAGTGGCATCACAGCACACCTTCCTTAACCAACCAATAAGAGGTATACCAATATTTCCTTTTGATGACTTGGTAAGCTAAGGAAGTTGGTTAGGTTAGATAATGTCTGGCAGAATTTCTATTCCACAAAGTTCATGGAGAAATAGCTAAGATTGAATACTTTCTATTTAAGAATTATATATAAGCTAATTATTATACACACAAACACACAAATTGATTTTAACCTACTTTTAGCAACTAAGAGCTCGGCAATTTACAATAAATACCTTTATTAAACAATCATTTGTACTAGCTACTTACGGAAAATATACTGGCATGCCTACTTGAGGATGACCATTCTCACCCCACATTAGTAGATCATATATTTTCAATTGTTCTTCCAAGAACAGAGACAGATCTAACTGAACAACTACACCTTCCTTCCTACCCCTGCCCCAGCTCCAAACACAAATATACACACACACACACACACACACACACACACACACACACACACACACACACTTCACAGAACAGTAAGCTAGAATATTAGTTAACGTGTTAAACACTAAGGATTAGAATTCGCTGTCCCTGGATTTCATGCTCATTGCCTCAACATTTGTGAAAGGAGCTCTTTAGGGCAAGGCAACAATCCTAGTTCTATGAAAACCATAACCGAATAATAAGACACAAAGAACTTGGACAGTGCCAATATGACTGAAAAAATCAAGTAATCAACTCAAAAATCAATTTACTATGTCTTTTAGAATGAGAATACCTTTCTATAGTTATTTTAGGACTTCACATCTAGTGGAGACTGCAATCAGAACTACTGTTTTTCTCCGACTTTTAAAAAAAAGAGGTAGAGAGGGTAAGAGGAGGAAATAAGCAATAAGAAACACATAGGGGCCAGCACACAGTCCAAGGCCAAATAAACTCTTGAGGCCTAGTGCTTTTGGAAAACCCTTCATTTTGTTAGGTAATTTGAATTACAAATATAAAATAAAATTAAGGCATACAGAGAAAAAGGCACTACTAAAAATTAACAAATTGCTTTTCATTGAAGTTTAACCAGTGTTAAAGTCAAATAAATATGAATGTTACATCTAAAAGTAAATGCCAAATTTAATGATAAAACAATAGAGTCTCAAAAAACCTGATCTTAGCATAAGAAACACTTGGTGGGAGTTCAACCTCTATCAAATATTTTGGGTATTTTAACACCTAAAAACTAAAATAAAGTTTGGGGTTATTTTCCCCCTTAAAAACCAAACTAAAACAGTAACAACAGCTGGGTCAGGGAGAACCCCAATACAGTGTGCTAAGGAATAAATGCTCCATTGTCACAGAACAGTCTGGGGCTGCGTGGTGCAATAAGAACAGGTTCTAACAGAGAGGTTGTCTAACCTGGGATATTGGGATAGTTATACTCTAATCCTTCTTGTTAATGTCTTTGGAGTCTACAATAGCCAACAATTATCCAAAATTTCTTCCTTATTATTTCATATAAAAATCCTAGTATTTTAAACATCACTGCTAAACTTTCAGAGTTAGGGTATGCCATTAAGTAATTGTCTGCCCATTCTCCTCCTCAACTATAACTTCCTGAAGGATATTAATTTATGTGACATAGCACATCACAATTATTGAGTTAGAAAATGAAAAAGATTGACCCTATTTTTTAAAAAAATGGACAAAGCTGGGTGTGGTGGCGCATGCCTGTTTTCCCAGCACCTGGGAAGCAAAGGCAGGAGCATTTAAGTTCCAGGCCAGCCTGAAACACATAGTGAGAACCCTGACTCCAAAAACACAAATTAAAATAAGACATATATTTGTGTACCTGGTTGACTCCAGCTGAATTTATATGAAGGTTCTCAAGACCCCAAATGAAACCTTTGGCGTGAACTCTGCCATTAGCCAAGGAGTCTGCATCATGCTGGGTCATCTGCCAATCTATTCAGGTTTGATTTTATTTTCTTAGTGATTTCACATATTTTATAACAACTCTATTTCAGAAGTAGTACAGATCAGACATGACCAATGTCAGAACTTAGTAGCAGAAAGCTACTCTAAAGATATATTTTTACTTTTTATGTAATTTCTATTGGGAACAAGGTAAGACTCAAATGAAAGCCAATTCAATTTATTCTGAAATAACAGTTTTAATTTCTCTTTTATAGTCCAGCATGTGCATTAATATTTGACTTCTCATATGTTGTAGATTGTGCCTCTTAATACTTTCTAAGGCAATAGTTATAGATGTTCTTAAAGTTAGAAATATATTTTTGTAAACAAGGAAAAGTGCTGAAAATTTTCAAGGCATTCATTCTGAAAACCTCAAAGTATGTATAACTTCAATACATTGAAATACCAATCCATCAAAAACTGGACTAGTTACATTTTCAACCCTTTGTTTGCACTGTGCAAGGTCTCCACTTGACTCACTCCTGTCACACCACTTTGACTCTTTCAGGGCCTCGGCAGAAGGTGCTTCCTGAAAGCACATCTGTTGCTGCTAGTGGATCTAGCTCCAGCACCGGAAGTCTGCTACTGGCAATGCAGAATGCATGTAAAGGCACAAAGTCAGAAGTCTGGCCATTTCCCAGCCACAAAGAAACATTGCAGTACCAAAGAATTAGTTGTGCATTTAAAAAAACAAAATACATTTAGAGTCATTTTTAAAAATTCAAACTTCATCGGTCAGCCCATACTATTAGGCAGAAAAAAAAATGGAGTGTAATATTTTACTTCCTTTGACAAATTGTTTCCTTTCAAAAATTTCTTTTTTTTAAATTTACTATTGACCTTCCATGTCCCATACCCCTATCTACTTCAAGCTTTTTTGCTCTAGCAGGGTTTGCGCTTTTATATATACACACATGTATATGTGTGTGTATACTTTTATACATATATATGTGTATATACATATGTATGTATATATATATGTATGTATATAAACTTTTATTGTGTTTTTGGTACCTTCACAACTGGTCTGAAATAAATTCACATCATATTCAATATAATAACTCTGTAAACTATTAGTCTATTTTTAAGTCTTTATAATTTTATTCTTCTTATAAAGCAAAAGTATTCTGATGCAGCTATTTACTACTGAATTTAGAAAAGAAATAGGAGACTGTTGAAAAGCTAACAACTGCTTTGAGTTCCAGTGTGCAAGTATCTTTTTGAAGAGTGTTTGTCTCTCTTCTGTACTGCACGTTACCCTGATGGACCAAATATGAGCCAAAGGGAAATCACAACCAGACTACAGACAAAGAAACAACAAAACAAACAAAATAAAACCCCAGCAATCCAGGTACCATAATTTTGCTCAAGTAGAAAAGATGCCCTCCCTCATAAAAGATAAAGAAATTAGAACACACGCACACGTTAGGTTTCCAGCATAAGATTAAGATTTGCTGAGGTGGGAGACACCTAATGCTTGTTCTTTGTAAGGGGTTTCCTTTGCTTGACAGTGTACAGGAGAAGTGTTAACTAACATTTTGTGCGCTGACTCTTAGACTATTGGAATTTCAAAAATTATTACAAGGTATGCTAGATAGGATCTTGATACATTAAAGTCAGATCTACATAACTTCAGAAGCCAAGTACTTAAAAAATATCTAAATAAACATACCTTGTAATAACAACAACAATGAAATCAGACTCTTTAGTCCCTTCTGATGAAAAGTATCCCATTCAGGGTCTCCTGGAAGACTGTTATCGTCTAGACTTTTAAAAATAAACTACTTAGCACTTGGTTTAATATGCTGAAAAATTTCAATGGCCAAATTACTGACACCTTCATGTTTTTCAAGTCTCATAATTCTACTAGAGACAGCGGGATCTTCCCCAGCTTAGTCTTTCCATTTAATGACATGGCTCTAAGTAGATGCTTACACTGGAACTATCTGGCAGTGTTTTAACTTTCCCACTGCTAGCAAACACTTTGTTTTGGTATACTTTTCTGGGCCTAGAAGGATGAGCTGACTTTTAAGGAAACAATATACAGAGATGCAAAATTCAAAAGGTTCAATACTCAAATTCATTATTTCTAAAGAGATAGTGATTCAAGCACAACCAGCAGCTGTCAAAGGACCGACTGTTGCCTGCTGTGTTGAGCTGTGCACCCCTGACTAATCGTCATCTCTCAGGACCCTCATGGCCCTGCATCTTGCCTCTGAAATCTGTGTTTACTGCTTTGTGAATGGCTGCTTTCGGCTTATAACTGGGTTTTCCTTCTAGGCACTTCTGCCTTCTGTGGCAGGATGATTCCTGGGAAGAGTCCTTGTGCACTAGTCTACTTAGCAGCACCCCAACCCTACCCACTAGATGCTGGTAGTACCTTGTCAGTTACGGCAACAGAGTGTCTCCAAGCACTGCCAGATGTCAGGTGAAGTGAATGACTCCCCACCACTGATCTCAGGTCTACCTGATGTTTGTTCTTCTGAGGTCCCGCTGGCTTAGTACTCTGTGATCCCAAGAACAAGGGTTTATTTCATGACAGGAACTTTAACAAGTGGGTATGTGAGCTAAAGACGGTTACCAATAGGAAACCAGGGGCTTGAAATAGGAAGATAGTATATACAATTTTTATTATTTCTCAGTTCCCTTCATTTGGGGACTTTCCCATCAAGTAAATAATGTTTAAAATATACTAAATGACACTTGGTTCTTTTTTCCATTATTTCTACTGACTGGCAAATGTGGTCTATTCTACCGCTCATACATCTAATGAGCAGTCGTCTGTGTTTTAGTTGAATTTACTCATTGGCTTCACATACTCTGCTTTCAAATACAACAGTATTTTAAGCAGAAAGCTGTCTCTCAAGGCTTACAGATTCCAGTAACATGGATCCACTATAATGTATTTGCCTATTATACTGCTTAGGATTAACGAACATACCTCTTAGAGATTCGCATCTCCTAATCAAGATTCCTACTGAGCAAAAAAGCTTGATAGACAGAGGTTAGGATCTAAAGAATACAGATATAAGAAGGAACCTATATTCTTTAAGTTGAGTACCTACCCTAAACTCAAGTTTAGGGCTCCACCCCACAAATAAGGATCTATTTAAATACTATCACTAAAAACTACAAATTGTACATCACTTTTTTTTCTTTGTCTTCCATGTCAGTGATACAGGGCAAGACTACAATCTTTATATATTCCAAATGATTTGTTTGTACTAAAAAGAGCAACTATGTACTAAAGTGCTTTATATCTCTGAACCACATCAGTACATTATAAAAATTTTAAAAAAAAAAGAAGTTTCAAGTTCTTGTAAAGAAAAAAAAGATTAAATATAAAAAATTTAGTTTACTATTATCAAACAAATTTAACCAAGAATCAAGAGAAATCTTTTCCCTCTTGTCTTTTTCTCCCATCTCTGGTTCTTATAAAAAGGAAAGTGCAGTAAGAGAGAAGGTGAACCCGAGGATGGAGCTGGCGGAGGCACAGAAGCGGGCGCCGGCTGCTAGTGATAATGCACGAACAGGTGCCGCAAGAGCTCCTCCGCGGACGGTCGCAGTTTGGCCTCCACAAAAATCCGTTTCAGGAAGTCTCGAGTATAGTCTGAGACATGAGGTGGCAGCTTCGGGTTGGTTGGCTGAGTGGCAATCTTAAAGATGGCAGCCATTGCTTCAAATTCAGCCCAAGGTGGCTTTTCAGTTAGCATTTCTACCACAGTACATGCTACACTCCTAAAAAGAAATAAAAAGAAGCATTACCCAAGTAATAACTTTAGGAAAGAAAGCTGATTAGCCAGAAAATAGAAACTGGGATAAGTCCGCATATAGTTTAATATTACTTATTTCAAATACAAAGTTTCACTCAAAGGTTAATTAAATAAAAATATAATTCAAACATGAAAATGAATGAAAGGCTGGAGCAATGTATACATTTCAATGAAAATTTATCATAATTATCTATGATCACAAATGTATAGTTAGGCAAAGAACTTTATTATATTTGTTCTAGATCATTTTCTAACATGATGTTAATAATTTTGTCTCCATCATACAAAGAATACAAGTATTATAAATTACTTGCCTTCAAATTCTTAAAAATCAGTATTTTTTTCCCCTGGTTGGGAAGTGGACAATGGCCATTCTGTGACCTCACTTATGTGATTTATTAATTCAGTTTTAAGATACTAACAACTAAACACACAGCCCTGCCATGACAGAGCCCCTAACCCTGGTATAGGGACCAGCATAATTTCTCTTCTTCCTTACCTGGAAGACTTGCAGATACCTTAAATCATCCAGAATCCAATAATGTATTTTCCAAAAACAACAGAGCTAAGCATATTATGAAAATACCACATCACACCACCACCACAGCAACAGTTTTTATTTCTGTAAAGCAATTATCAATTTATTGTAAATAATTATATGATTGACATTCAAGATCCTGGGAAAATCTGACTTTGCAATCAAAACATAATTCAGCTGTTAATGGAGATCTCCTTGTTCTTCAAACACATAAACAGAAATTACATGATGACCCATTCAGAACTGCAGTGCTTCACTGTAAAGTTTTCAATTTTTAAGTAAATATCCCTGCAATGGAAAGTTTGTATAGTCTGATATGTCCCAGCCCAGGGTGGTGGTGAGGAGTCAAGATTCGTGTTAGGGTGGGTGGGTATGTCAGGAGTGATGAATTAATCTCCTCAGGTGACCTCATAACTCACTCTTACCCCAATTATTATTTGTAGTCTCACCCATCTTATGCAGGCAATTATGGGTTTTCAAATGTTTATACATACCTTTGTGACTTAAAAAGAAAATCACTGATTCTTTTTTTTTTTAAATTTTGTTGTTGTTTGAAGACACTGACAGCCAAGAGTTCTTTAAAAGTTACTCAGGGGAATAAGAGCTTTCTAATGTTGAGGTTTGCTTAAGACAAAATCCTTCCTACAGAAGGAAAAATATTTCAAAGACTCAAGTATTTAGTCAAGTTAGCCTTGGTAAGGTATAACTGAAATGGAATTAATCATTACAATTCATATATCCTGCTTCCAAAGTACACAGGATAATTTAAATCTGGCAATTTCAAATATGGGTAGAAATAAGAAGGTAAGTTTCCAGGCAAATCTGACATCCAAACTTACCAGATATCTGCTTTTCTGCCATAGCCTTCTCCACTAATGACCTCAGGACTCATCCAGTATGGTGTGCCTGTGACAGACTTCATTCCTGTGCCCGAGAGACAGATGGTCTGAAGCCGTTTGCTAGCCCCAAAGTCTCCTAATTTGATATTGCCTGTGGAATCCCTTAAGATATTTGCTCCTAAAAATAAGAAATAGTCTTATTTCAAAGATTTTATTGGCATTCTAGAATGTATAATAAGTGGTAGAGAATTACTGTGTAGACTCTAATCTGTCCCCAAATTAGGTTGCCTGTCTAGTCGCAGCAGTACCTGGCATGCCTCGATTAGAAAGTCCTATTCACCTTGCATTAAGCACCTGCTGTTTAGCCATTACTTCTCCGGGTGTTTCAGAAGCTAATGAGCTTCGCAGACAAAGGGTGCGGCAGGGCCAGGTGAGGTGAAAGAGAAAGGGGAAAGGGCTGAGAGTAAAGCTTAGCCAAGCACCAAGGAAGGCTCTGGCTCCGTGTGTTTGCTGATTACAGATGGCTGTGAGCCACCATGTGGGTGCTGGGAATTGAACTCAGGACCCTAGAAGAGCAGCTAGTGCTCTTAACCTCTGAGCCATCTCTCCAGCCCCCAAATGTGTAGCCCAGGCTGGCTTCGAACTCGTGATCCTCCTGCCTCCACCTCCTTCAGCAAATCCTATTGGCGTGCGCCACCACAACTGCATTTATTTGCTATAAAGCAAGAAGTCCATGGCTGAAGATTATTTTCCTGGTAAGCCAGTTTCTCCTCAGGAACTTCCAAAAGGACCTTCATAATCAAAACTTCTACCTACTCCATTTTATTGTATTTTAAGGTGTTCTTTTGTTGTTGCTGTTATTTTTAACTCAAGGCCTCAAACTTGAGATCTTCCTGACTCGGCACCCCAGCACTGGAATTACAGGTATGCACCACCATGCTACACTTTTTGTTTTAATGATTTCTATGGAGGAGGCTGAATAGTGCAGATAATCTACATTACAGACCATAGAGAATACAGACTCTCCACCTTCACCATGAGCTTCTATTCTCCCAGACAATTCCCCAGCCTTACCAGCAGTAATTCCACAGGAGAGTCTAGGATCCTTCTCAGCAAAACCTATTAAGCCTGCTTGACCCACCAGTAATTTTCTAATGTAGCTCTGCTTGCTTATGATCTCCTACTATCTAGTATATAAAAAAGGACTCAGAAAAACATCCAACTATCTCTAGACTATTTAATCACAAAGCAAAACAGACCTTTTTGTTTGCTTGAAATGTGGTCTTGCCATATTGTTCAGGAAGGCAACTTGAACTCTTGGGCTCAAGTGAGCCTCACAATCCTCTTATTTCAGTTTTCCTAAGTAACTGCGACTACACATGTTTAATAAGCCAGATTTTCCTGGCTACAAGCAGAGGACATTTTCCCTACACAGACATGCGCATGCACGCAGAGAGTCGTCTTTTGGGAAGTGGCATCAATACTGAACTAATGCTCACCCACAGGAGGAGCTGAAGAAAAAATAGGCAGCCAGGTTCCCAACACAGTTTTCTTGTTTTTAAACTGTATTTTAATAAATTTAAAATAAGGCTTTTCAAACATAGGCAAGGGTAGACAGAATTGCTTATGTTCCCATTACTCAGATCCAACATCCAATTAGACAACTAAAAGCTAAAGCAAAACAAAACATATCCAGGATGGGGAGATGATTCAGTGGGTAAAGGTACTTTTTGTTCAAGCATGAGGACCTGAATTCAGATCCCCAACATACACATAAAAACTGGGTGTACCGACATGCATCTGTAATCTCAGTGCCAGGGGCAAGGACATAAGAGGATGTCTAGTACTCCTGGCCAGCCAACTTAGCTAGAATATGGGAAGCTGAAGATTCAGTGAAAGATCCTGACCCAAGAAAACAAGATGGAGAGAGACAGAGCAGGCATTCCCTGTCCTCTTCTGGTGTGTGCATATGCACAAATAAAACCATTAAGAAAATAAATTGTCCTTTTATTAACTATTTGGTATTCAATAATATAGTTCCTTCCCCCGCCCCCAATATATAGACCAGGCTGGCTTTGAACTCAGAGATCCACATGCATCTGCCTCTGCTGCAATTAAAGGTATGCACCACCAAGCCTGTCAACAGTATAGTTCCCTGAAATACAAAAAGAAAAAAGAACAGGGCCAGAGCGATGGCTCAGTGAGTAAAACCTGTGCTGCACATGGTAGAAGAAGAGAACCAACCCCTTCACGTTGGTCTCTGCCCTTTGTGCATCGTCTGTGGCACTCGCATGCACATGCACACTTACACAAATACAAAAAATGTGATGAATTTAGAGGGAGGAGAGAGAGAAGGAAGGAGAGGGAGAAGGAAAGAAGAGGGAGAAGGGGGAATAAACTTTGGAAATGAGTGGGTTTCCTAACAGTAATGATCTTCATCTTTGTTATGATCCGACAGGTCTGAAATTACATGAAATCAATTATCTTTACCTTTCCATTTGCCACATAAACTGTTCAAAAAAATCAGAAGACACAGAACAAGTCAAAGTACATGACAGAAAACAAATACCACTATGGTGCCGTTTGGTGGCCACCATTTCCCTTCTGTCAGACTTAAATTTACAAATTTGAGACCCTATTTTTATATCTTACTTTTCTCTCTTATCAATATTTGTCCTGTAATATTTATATATCAGCTTGCTTCCATCCCCCTTCACTTGACCAAGATGGTTCATCACACTTTCTGGTAAGATTAGAAGATTGATCCATACAGAAGACGGCTCCCTTTGTTTCTTTTCTTCATTTTGAGGGCCAAAGAGAAGTTGGCTTAACTAGAAATAGATATTCCTAATTGAATAATTTCTTTATGAAGTTCTTTAAAGTATCAGCTTTTATACTTAATAAGCCCCACTATAGTGCATGTAACCTGCCTCAGGAATTCTGCATACTAGACTCATGGTAGAAAGTACTGTTCAATTACCAGAAATGATTGGCAATTTTCTTCTTGGCCTAATCTGGACATAGTCAAGATGCGCTCCCACCACATGGAAAAGCAGAAATCTGGGAACTTGTAAGAGGGGCAACAAGATCAATGAGTAAATATTAAACAGATACATTTACTTTTTTTACTCAGTGATTTCTAGATTTTGGGTCATACCCCAGTTTTTAAAGACTCAGGTAGGCTCCCAAGTAAAGAATTTTTAGTACTCTCAAATTTTACACATCTCTACCATTAACTCACTCCATGTACTCATTTCTATATCTGTTCCCTGGGGGAAAGTGAATTTATCCTAGTTGAAATTCATCAAAGCTCAATTTGGGGATCTTTCCTTCCTTCCTTTCATTCTTTCATGACATCTATCCCCATGACTTTAAATACAATTACAACATAAAGCATGTCATCACAGTAGCTAAATTTTAAGTGCTGAGCACCAGGCATTGTTTTAAACATTGCAGCATGTTAACACATTTGATCCTTGAAAGAATCCTATAAATTGAGTACTATTTTATGATTCTAACTTAAGAATAATTAAAAGAGAGGGCAGTGGATGCCTCTCAGGGGTAGAGAAGCTGCCTAGTATATGCAATTTCCTAGGTTCCATCTCCAGAAATTGGGGGTGTGCAATTTCCCACGAGGAGGGAAGAAAAAGAGGGAGGATGAAAGAGAGAGAGGGATGGAAAGATAAATGAGGAATGAAGATACAGACAGATTAGCATGTCCAAGGTTACAGTTAGAGCAAATGAAGCCCAAGTTGGAATCCAACTCTGTGACAGCAGAACCCCTGCTCACTGCCCTAATGCCCAGGCAGTACTCATACAAACATGGTTATATTATTCTAGGGGTATCTGAATGAAACTGATCCTATGGACCCTTACATCAAAGCTAATCATTCATGTAGGCCCAAATTTCAGAACTGGTCTGACAGGACACTAACAGAGTCCATGAGAAAGCTGGAGAACTGGTTCCCTCTGGCAGTTTACAGTTTAAATGTTCAATGCTTTAATGGTATTTCTTTCATTCACACTCAAACAAAACTGTGTATTTAAAGTAAAAAGTAATTTATGACTTACCTTTGATATCTCTATGGACAATCATATTACTATGCAAATAATGGACCCCCTCCAGAATCTGACGAGTGTATTTCCTAGTCACATTCTCAGTAAGAGCTCCATATGCTTTTAGTTGGTCCTTAATTGAACCCTAGGATAAAAGAAAACAACTAAACCTTCTGTTTAAAATAAAAAAAAACGCTACTCAATCTTTATTTTTAAGAGAATCCTTAGTTCATGGCTGGGAGACTCTAAGTGGAAAGGGCAGAAATTCTCGGTAAATAAATAAGCACAGTTTCTGTTCTTTCAGATTATTTATGTTGAACTGATCTCTTTGAAACTAACAAATTATAAGTCTTCCATATTTGTAGGCCTTTAATACAACCCCAAAGTGTTTTCCAAAAATAATGTTTAAGCCAATTTCCCCAGGAAACAGAATATTTGAAAACATAAAAGTAGTAGCAAATAAGGCCGGTGAGTAGCAATGGCGTCGTGACAAATGGCTGTGCATAATGGAGGTGTACTGCTGCTTGCAGGACGCTGACGGTGGTCAACAACAGCTGGCACTGCCAGGTACAGCTCTGTAAGCTCAGAGGGCAACCTGTACCTTCAACAGGCAACTCCAGATCCCTACTCCCCTGAAGACCCATAATTCAAACTTCTTTTTCCTAACTTACGCTATTAAATTAGGAGAATACGTTTCTTCTTCTTTTTTCTTTCTTTTGTTGTTGTGTTTTGTTTTTTTTTTTGAGACAGGTTTTTCTGATTACCCTTGGCTATCCAAGAACTCACTCTGTAGACCAGACTGGCCTTGAACTCATAGAGATTCACCTGCCTTTGCTGGGATTAAAGACATGTACCACATTTTTTTCTTTTTAAGTTTTTTTTGAAGTCACTTTGTCAAGTCTAAATTGGCCCTGAACTTGAAATCCTCCTACCTCTACCTCCTGAGTACTGGGATCACAGATATATGTTACCATGCCTGTCAGAAGGCACATATCTCTTAATGAGTAACAATGCTAACTGCCATCTTGAAAAATGTTTTTAAATGAATTGAATATTCACAATACTGGCTACAGGAAAAACTAAAATTTTACTATAATGAGTCAGGCTATGATCATTCTCCTCTTATGAGCAATCAGCGTGGCTACAGTGGAATAACCAGACATCCTACGTCTCCTGACATCAGCCACATCAGGTTCAAAATTTCATCTATGACACAGCAGATGAAAAGGGCTGGACTGGAGTCCTCTCAACTTATTTTTAATAAGAATGTATCTTTTCAAAAAGATGCATGAACTTACCCCTGGCATATACTCCATAAAGATGGAGAGTGTTTTCTCCTGAGGATCCCTCAAGCAGCCGTAATACTGAACAATTCGCTCGTGTAGTAAGTTTTTCAACAACTGAATTTCACACTCAAGTGCATTTACTTCCTAGAAGACAGAACTCCTGCTAAGTCTTCTTTTAAAAATACGTTATTATATTTGTCTGTCTGTGTGCATGTCCATTCGTACATGCACCGGGAACTACAAGTGGAGGTCATAGGACAACTTGCAGGAATTAGTTCTCTCCTTCCACCATGTGGGTCCCCAAGAGGTGGATTCTGGGTATTGACCTAGGTTGACAGGCTTGGTGGCAAGCACCTTTTACTTGTTAAACAGTTTTACTGGCCCTACATTAAGTCTTTATAGCATCAAAGTAAACACAAAATTCTCTTAGTTCATGGACTGTCATGGAAATGTTCACTCTACATAGAATATTTTAGTCTCTACTTTTTAATGTGTATGAACTTGCCTGAATTTGTCTGGACCACATGTGTGCGGTGCCCTCAGAGGCCAGAAGAGGGGGTACGACCACCCCTGGAACTAGAGTGACAGACAGGTGTAAGCCTCACTGTGGGTGTTGCAAACTGAGCCTGGGCTGTCTGACAGAGCACCAGGTGCTCTCCATCACGAGTCACCTCTCCAGACCCCAATGTCTTTTCTTTAACAGCCCTGGTTGTTTGCTAAGGGAGCACCAAGTCCAACTAGGACCACAAATGAAGCACTAAAACAGCTGATCACTTTACTACAACCCACAAACCCCACCACACTGTTACATTACATTTGAAAGCTTTTTATGTATATTTAGTCTGTCTCTGGGTGTTGGGGGGTGGGGTGGGGGTCAGAGAACAACTTGTGGGAGCTGGGTCTCTACTATCATGTGTGTTCTGGGGACTGAATCAGGTCTCTAGTCTTGGAGTAATCTCACTAGTCCCATTTTTGCTTTTGGCTTTTACCCCTCCAAGAAAAACCGCTTTTTACGAAGGCCAAGTAAGAAATCTGAGTGGTGACTTTTACCTTGCTGGTCTCCGGGCTGTCAGGGTTAAACTGAACTTGTTTAACAGCCAGTTCTCTTCCGGTATCAACATCATAACAGAGGTAGACCCTACCAAAAGCTCCTTGGCCAAGCAGTTTGCCCAATCTCCAGTTCGTTGGAGCTCGAGGTGCTGAAAAAGAATATTTTCTTAAAATGGAGTAGTCAGGTGCTATTCAGTGACTTCCTAACTGAACATTCTAGATACAAGGGAAAATTATGACCATCCAAATTTATAATGGTCTCTATCTTTCAAAAATGTTCTCCCTATCAAGAATTCTAACTAAAAGTTTGTATCTCATGACGTATTTTTCCCAGTAAGATTTTCTTTTTCCAACTACAAAAGTGACAGCCATCTTTCACTTGATCTAAGATGTCACCAACTATAAGATACCCTATTTTCCAATTCTTACTGCAGCAAATTACAAATATCTGTAAATAGTTTTTCAGTCCATCTATAATACAGAAATCTGGAAAGAGCATCATTTTCCATCTCTATAGGAGAACTCAGGCAATCAACAAAGTTACAGCTTTATGGATATGGTATTTTCCCTGCATGTGTGTGTGCACCACATGCAGGCAGTGCTGGAAGCCAGAGAAGGGCAAGGGGTATCCTGGAACTGGAGTCACAGATGATTGTGAACCGTCTCCTGATGCCGAGAATCAAACCCAGGTCCTCTGGAACAGCAGCCACTGCACTTAACCACTGAGCCATCTCTCCAGCCCTGTAACTTTTTTTTTAATCGTTGTGGGGGGTTTTGTTTTGTTTTGTTCGTTTGTTTTGAGACAGGGTCTCACTACGTAGACCTGACTGCCCTGTAACTTGTTAGGTAGCTCAGGTTGGCCTTGGAACTTCTGGTGCTTCTGCTCCCAAGTATTGGAATTACAGATGTGTACCACCCTGCCTGGAAGAAATTATAACCTTTGCTGAACATTTTGGAAAACAGATTACAGGGCACCCAACTAACCTAAAATCTAAGGAAAAGGAGGCGCTCCAAGGAAAGAAAAGAAATGGTGAAGCACATAAAATAATGTGGTGATATTTTGTTTGCACTCTTAACAAATAAAATTTGCCTGAAGACTACAGAGGACAGATCTAGCCACTAGATTAAACAGAAGCCAGGCAGTGGTGGCACACACCTTTAATCCTAGCACTCAGGAGGCAGAGATCCGTCTGGATCTCTGTGAGTTCAAAGCCACCCTAGACTACACGAGATTAATCCAGTTTAAAAGAGGAAACAGAGCCAGGAGGTATTGGCCCACATCTTTAATCCCAGCATTTGGGATCTCATGCCTTTGCTCCCATTATTTGGGAAGCACACACACCATTAATCCCGGCACTAGGTTGAGACAGGAAGTGATAAGGCTGGGCAGAGAAAGGCATATAAGGCGGGAGGAGACAGGAACTCAGTCCTTTCGGCTGAGGACTCGGGGGCATTCGGTCTGAGGATTTGTGGAGACAGGATCTTCCCCTTTCGGCTGAGGAGTTGGCGAGGTGAGAAGTGGCTGTGGCTTGTTTCCTCTCATCTTTCAGCATTTACACCAGTATCTGGCTCCGGGTTTTTATTGTAAGACCAATTAGGATTCGTGCAACAGAATAAACCATTCCAGAAAGTAAGGAAAGCTAAGCTCCACTGTGAACAAGTGTGAGCTGCCATGACAGCACTGAATCACAGGAAAAGCAAGACATACACGGGTCCGACTTGCCCAACTTTTCTGTGTACCTCCTCCCTGTACTCACAGGAGCCAGAGATCATGCCCTTGGTAGTCAAGGCTGGAGAATGGAATGGTCTGTGATAGACAGACGCTCTGAAAAGTAAGAGTCGCTGCTGGACATGGTGACACACACCTTTAATCCTATCACCAAGAGGCAGAGTCAGGTAGATTTCCCTTGGGAGTTCGAGCCACCAGGGCCACAGAGACCCTGTCGGGGGTGGGGGTTAGAGCTCACAAGAAAAAGCAATCAACATAACCAGACTCAAGATAACTCATTCAGGAAATTTAATTTTTGAATAGGCTGAGGATGTAGCTCAATGGTAGAGTGCACAAAGCATTGGTTTTTTTGGTTTCTGTTTTTTGTTTTTCAAGACAGGGTTTCTCTGTGTAGCCCTGGCTGTCCTGGAACTCACTCTGTAGACCAGGCTGGCCTCAAACTCAGATTTCTCCTGCTTCTGCCTCCCAAGTGCTGGGATTAAAGGTGTGCGCCAACATTGCACAACTTTCAATGGGTTTAATTTCCACAACTACATACAAAAGCAATTCAAAATTAAAATAAAAACACAAAAAACAAATGGTGGCTGAAGAGACGGTTCAGCAAGTAAGAGTAGAGTGCTTCTGCTCTTGCAGGACACACACTGGATGGCTCACGGTCACCTGTAACTCCAGCCCCAAGGAATCTGATGCTCTCTTCCCAGCTCCACTGTCACTGCACTAGTGTATGTATGCTCGCATGCTCACGCGCTCTCTCTCTCTCTCTCTCTCTCTCTCTCTCTCTCTCTCTCTCTCTCTCTCTCACACACACACACACACACACACACACACACACACACACACACACCTAAAAATAAAAATAAATCTTTTTTAAAACTCTATTAACATATTAAAGGTCTGGATGGAGAAGGTAGGCAACATGCAAGAACAGATACAGAGTCAAATGAAAATGTTTCTTCAAAAAAAGGAAATGTTTCTTCAATAAGATCATAAACAGATAAGCCCTTAAATCCCAGACATGGAGACCTGGAGACAGGAGGATCAAGAGTTCAAGGTCGTCTTCTGGGACACAGGGAATTTGAGGCCAGTCTGGAAAGTATCTCAGCATCCTGCATCACAAAACAGAAGAGAAATGCTCAAAGGAGAGCAAGGATGAGAATGAAGACGGGGTGAGGTGCAGAGCAGCAGCAGGAGTGCAGGACCACGAGAGGAAAGCTGCACTGTTCGCTGAGGCAGGAAGACAAATGAAAACGGAATTTCTCTTGGAAATATGTAGGCCAAAAGACAAAGGATGATCTGAAGGCATTGGTTCTTTTTAATTTTTTTTAAAGGAAATCTATATGCAGAAAAATATCTTTTAAAAAATGAAGGGGGGAAAAAGCCTTTTCAAGCAAATAAATGTTAATTGAATGCATTATCAATAGACTTGTATTTAAAAAGGGGTTAAATTCAATTCTTTAGGTAAGAAGAATTTTATACTTGACTGAATCTTGACTCTACATAAAGATCTACAGAAACAGATAAACAGAAGGTATATACAAAAGACCAATCCAAGACTTTCCTTCCTTCATTCTTTTTTTTTTTTTAATTTATTTTATGTGTATGGGTGTTTTGCCTGCAAGTGTATGTCCACCATATGCTTGTCTAGTGTTCTCAGAGACCAGAAGGGGGCACTGGATCCTCTGTACTGGAGTTACTGACAGTTGTGAGCTGCCATGTGCTGGGAATTGAAGCCAGGTCCTTTGGAAAAGCAGCCAGTGTCTTAAATGCTGAGCCAACTCTCCAGACCCGTCCCCGCTTATTTTCAATCTCTGAAAACAGCTGCCAAGGACAGTGTAACAGCAATGTAGTGTGGGGTTACAGGTGTAAAGGGAAGGAGTGACAACACCAGAAAAAGGAGGGTCAGATCAGGCAAGTTTTGCTGCAACATCTGTCTTTGAGCTGGAGCAGGCAAAGATACTGTGGACATAATTAAGTTCAAATACTTTGCAATTTGATCTCATTTACCACTGTAGTCCTAGTTCTACTACTTCAATAAGATATCTCCATGTCAGTAGAAATGTCTTTGAGAGTGTTTCCAGAAAGGATTAGCTGACGAGGGAAGACCCAACCTGAATGTGGGTGTCATTATCCCCTGGGCTGGGAACCCCAGCCCAAGAGAAAAGAACACAATGAACTCAGGACCGCCATTCTTCCTGTGTCCCAACTGCAGACTCAACATGGCCAGCCCTCCATGCTCCCACCACTGTGCCTTCCCCTCCATGATGGACTTCACCCCCTCAACTCCCAAGTCAAAACAAACTCTAAGTTGTTTTCCTCAGGTATTTGTCAAGCAACAAGAAAACGAACTTTGTTATAGGTATAACAACCACCACCCCACTCCATCCATGCACATGAATACACGCACGCACGCACGCACGCACGCACGCATGCACACATGCTGATATACTCAAAGATAAAGAAAAGGGCCAGAGAGATGGCTACTCAGTGCTGATGGAACCACTTTGGGAAGTTCTGAAAACTTCAGGAGATGGAGCCTTGCTATAGGAAGTGTATCTCTAGGGAGGGGGTGTCTCTGAAAGGTATACCTCATCTCTCTAAGCCTAACCTTAACCCTAACCCAGGTGGGAACTGAGTTCCGCCTCTCCAGTCTTGTTTCTCATTTAGTATGAGGTATATACCCTCTACCAATGTGCCCATCACCATGGTACTCTGCCTCATCACAGAGCCAGAATCAATGGAGCCAAAGACAACAAACTAAAATCTTGAGCCAAAATAAATCCTTCCTCCTTTAAGTTGTTTGGGTAAGGTATTTCATCAGTGATGAAAGTCTGACACATACAATTAGTAAATTTCTACACATTAGGGTCTAACAAATGCTATACTGCAATTTTTTCTCCATAAACCAATCTCCTCACTAGGCTGTTTCTTAGAAGTTGCATAGTAAATCTCAGTGCTCCACATGGACAAGAAGAACAGAATGGATAAGAATAATTAGTAGCAATCTTCCTAATAAAAGTGAAGAACAATTAGCTACAGTAATTAGCTGTGATACCAACTTATGCCTGAGTGCTTAGCCACCTTTAAAAATCCTATTCTTACCTCTTGTGAAGTGTTTTTCCCTGAGTTCTGATTTGCCATTTACTCCTGTTAACACAAAACCACTCCAATGGTCTACTCCACATTTCTACTACTTACAGCGGCTGGGCGGGCTGATGTCTGTGACAGTCAGAGTAGGATTGTCTATGTCACTCCCCCTTCTTCTGATTCGGCTGTCTTCATAGTCTGGGGTAAAGATACTGCTTCCACTACTAGTGCTTAAGGAGTGATCGGTAGGACTGAAACTCACAGGAGACCGGAAGCTGGTGCCCTGGGTCCTTCTGGCTCTGGGGAAAGTCTTACGACCTACAAAGCAAAAAGAGAGTTCACTTATCCCTTCTATTCATGTACTACACGTTTGAGATATTTAAACATCCAGAGTGTAGAGTAGGAACCGGCCTTGAAATGTAAGCTGAAAAAGCTGAAATAACAATGATTATATGTGTGAGGAGTGGTAGTGAATACCAATTCAAGTACTCTGCTATGGGAAAATGCACATACACTCATGTGTACAAGAAAGCCATAAAAGAAACCCTTCACTTTCACAGAAGAAAAAACAAAATTCATTTCCAATAATGGCTTTAAAATAAACATAAAGCCAAACTGGAAAGTTACAGGTAGCAGAGAGATACTGTTTGTCCTGGTTGGTTCTTTCTGTTTGTTTTGTCAACTTGACACAGGCTGGAGTCATCTGGGAAGAGGAAATCTCAATTGAGAAACTACCTCCATCATACTGGCCTATAAGCAGGTCTGTGGGACACTTTCTTGATTAATGATAGAAGTGGGAGGGCCCAGCTTACTATGGGTGGTGCTACCCCTGGGCAGATGATCCTGGGTTGTATAAGAAAGCAGGCTGAGCAAGGCATGAGAGCAAGCCAGTAAGCGGAACTTTTCCATGGCTTCTGCTTCAGTTCCTTCCTGCCCTGACTTCTCTTCATGATGGACCATAACCTGCTAAGTGAAATAAACCCTTTCATCCCCAAGTTGGTTTTGGTCATGGTGTTTATCACTGTAGCAGAGAGCAAACTAAGATACTGACGTATCCTAATTTATTCACAAGAACAAAGAAATGGAAACAGTCTAGGTATCCATCTAAAAATAAATGGAAAAAATGAAAATGTAATGCACATACTGTTGTGGTTTGAATAAGAATGGTCCCAATAGGCTTATATATCTGTAAGCTTGGACCCCAGTTGATGTACTGTTTGGAAACAATTAGGAGGTGTGTCACTGGGGGTGGCTTTGAGGTTTCAAAAGCTCACAACAGGCTCATCTCTCTGCTGCCAGCAGATCTGTAGCTCTCAGCTACTGCTCCATCACCATGCCTGCTTGCCTGTCTGCTGCCGTGCTCCTGCCATGACCATGGACTAACCCTCTGAAACCGCATGCAAGTCCCCAGTTAAATGCTTTCTTTTATAAGCTGCTTTGGTCATGGTGTCTTTTCACAGCAATAGAATGGTAATTAAGACACATATAATGAAAAATTTTTTTCTGCTGTAAAGAAAAATAAGATTTGTAAGAAAACGGATGGATCTAAAACTTTATTAAGATAACCCAGACTCAGAAAGACAAAAACCACATATTCTCTCTCACATGCAGATCTTAACTTTTAATGTTTATATGTATGCATATATGTGGGTATGAACATAGTTACAGATTATGAAACCAGACAGGAGATCACAAGAGAGAGGAAAAAGTATTGAAGAAATGGGGAAGGACAAAAGGGCAGGGAAGAAGGCTGGGGATGGATGCAATAAAAATAAGTTTTGTTTGAGAAATGCTATAATGAAACCTAATACTCTATATTTTGAATGCTAACTTTTTTTTTTTTTTTTTTTTTGGTTTTTCGAGACAGGGTTTCTCTGTGCAGCTTTGCGCCTTTTCTGGACCTCACTTGGTAGCCCAGGCTGGCCTCGAACTCACAGAGATCCGCCTGGCTCTGCCTCCTGAGTGCTGGGATTAAAGGCGTGCGCCGCCGCCGCCGCCGCCGCCGCCGCGCCGCCGCCGCCGCCGCCGCCGCCGCCGCCACCACCACCACCACCCAGCTTGAATGCTAACTTTTTAAAAGTTATAACATTTTTAAAATTTATAAATATCTGTGTGTGTGTGTGTGTGTGTGTGTGTGTGTGTGTGTGTGTGTGTGTATATAGACACATATATATAGTTTATGTGTGATATTATATATGTATATTGTAGTTGTTTGAATGCTTGGTCATTAAGGAGTGACATTACTTGACAGAGATTAGGAGATGTGGCCTTGTTGGAATAGGTGTGGCTTTGTTGGAGGAAGTGGGTCACTGGTGGTGGGCTTTGGTGTTTCAAATGCTCAAGCCAGGCCCAATGTCTCTCTCTTCCTGGGGCCTGCTGATAGGAATGTAGAACTCTCAGCTACTGCTTTTGCATCATGTCTGCCTGTGTGCCACTGTGCTTTCCATCATGACCACAATGAACTAAACCTCTGAAACTCTAAGTCAGCCCCAATTAAATGTTTTCCTTTAGAAGAGGTACCATCATCATGGTGTCTCTTCACAGCAATAGAATACTGACTAAAACAAGTTTGTTACACACACGTGTGCACATGCATGTGGAGATCCAAGGTCAACAATGGGTATCTTTTTCAATCACTCCCCACCTTTATTATCTTATGTATGTATGTATGTATTTACTTATTTAAGACTAGGGTATAACCATGTAATACCAGGCTGAACCTGAATCTGAACCTGAGTTCAGGTTCTGAGGATCTGAACTCAGGTTCTTGTGCTTGAGCAGCAGACACTTTACGGACTGAGCTACCTTCTCAGAACCAATTTACTTTCTTTCTTTCTTTTATTTTATTTTATTTTATTTTTTTGGTTTTTCGAGACAGAGTTTCTCTGTGTAGCTTTTGCGCCTTTCCTGGAACTCGCTTTGTAGACCAGGCTGGCTACAGAGATCCACCTGCCTCTGCCTCCCAAGTGCTGGGATTAAAGGCGTGCGCCACCACTGCCCAGCCCAATTTACTTTCTTAAAAGAACAAAGCAAACATGAATTTCATCCTCAGGGAGTATATTTCTAATTTATACCATTTCCAATTACTCCTTTGCAGTAAAACATAAATATCACAAGTTGGTAGAAAACTACTATATTATTTTGCTTTACTTATAACCAAATTTTCTCCAAAAAATGTTTTTTGGAGGGTTGACAAAGGTCAAATTTGGGGCCTTAGGCAAGTACTTTACCACTGAGCTGCATCCCCAGCAAAAAGGTTTGTTGTTTTATTTTTGTTTGAAACCTGGTCCTTCTATGTACCTGGCTGTCCTGGTACTCACTATGAAGACCAGTATGGCCTTGAACTCATAGAGATCTGCCTGACACTGCCTCCTGAGTACTAAGACTAAAGGCATGTGCTACCATTCCTAGCAAAGGTTTTTCATTTTTTTTTTAAACCAGAAAAATAAATGACTCAAGAATAAATTATTTGGTTATCATAAATACGAGGCTTTTTAAATATGCAGTCATTTTTTTAAATATTTGCTAATGGTCATCTGTTCATGTAGTCTGATTGTTCAAACTTACCATCATTATACTCTTGATGATGATATGAAACATGATACCTTCTTGGATATGTTCCTCCTTTCCCAAACTTCTCAAAGATAGGGTTATCATAGTCTGTTAAGACATAAGAATGCTATCATTAAAAAGGCAAATATTTTTAGTAATGAAAAGCATATTTTTCATTTTTAATTCTTTCAAAATATTTCCCCCTCCCAGCCAAAGCATGACATAAACATTCAAGTATGTAGAATTTATAATCTAACCTGAAAACTCCTGATGATTATCTGGGTAGCTCTGTGCCCGAGGCATCCGTGATTTGGGATAGTTTTCTCTATAAATAGAAAATATAAGATTAGATTAAAAGAGGGTATGTAATAAAACATTTTTTAAAATCTTTAAGCAATATCTAAATTTGTATATGTGTTCATACCGTGTGTGTGTGTGTGTGTGTGTGTGTGTGTGTGTGTGTGTGTGTGTGTGTGTGTAAAGGAGCTCACTTAAATACTAATGTAAGCTTTTAAAAAGAGAAACTTGTTTGAAACACTCATTTAGTACACACAGACAGAAAGTCAAGCTTAAAATTAGCTACTACATACAGGAGTAAGAATGATACATTTGGAACCATGGAGGTTTGTTTGAAGCACCTGCATTTCAGCTTAAGTTGAAAGATATTTTTTTTTCTGAATCTATACAAAAGACATATAATTTAACTTATCAAACATCAATGACAAATATTCAACTACAAAATTCCTTTCTTTTGGGGTAGGGTGGGTGTGAGTAGACAGAGTAGGTTTCCCGAGGCAAACACTGACAGACAGGTTCCACAGGTATGGGTAGAGGAAAGTGTACATGAATTTCCAAATGTCTATCTGTTCTCCTAAAGAAGCCCAGAGGAAATAAACAAGTGAATCATCTAATACTAATTCTGTGCTACAGAAGACTGAAAAGAGCAATGTCCTTCTGAGAACAAGAGAGGGAACCTTACAAAGGCACATCATGCACACACGGAATAAACAAATACAATTTTTAAAAAGCAACTGCCAAAACCAAACATGAGAAATTTTATAACCATTTCAAGAGCTGCTGTAAAATAAACACATGTAAAGTCTAAGTGTACTTGCTTCAAACAGGATTTTGACAAGTAGAAATAGTAGGAGAAAAAAACATAATGAGACAATTAAAAAAGATAACTCCGTGAGGTTAAAAGACTTATTCACAATATAGAAAACTTTACTTGCTGTCTGTGTAGACAATTATCAATCAGCTACATTCTTCAGAATATAGAATAAAAGATAACTGTACATGTACCAATATATACTAAAAAGCAGAACTATAATCATCATTACCCATCCAAAGGGCTATCAAGTGATGGACAGCTTCCTGAGCCAGAATTTTCAGGGCTGCTTAAAGACAATGGATCCAGCATCTAAGAAAATAAAGAGTTCCACCATGACCCTGTCTGATAATAACCAAGTTATTTTTTTAAAAAACTGCTTGACACATAATATAACATAAACCTCATTCATTTAAAGTATATGATTCAATGGCTTCTAGCATATCAAGAAATATACATAACTTTCCCCACAATTTTAGAATTCTTTTTAGGACCTTCAAAAGAAACTCTGTAACAAATAGCAATCACTTTCCAGAATTATTCATTTTTAAACATCCTGAATAAACAAGCTGTGACTACGAAGTTTTCTAATGGAAAAATAAAGTTCTTCTGTAGTCAAGTAATTGAAGCTAAAGTAATTTTGCCTATTGAAAACTGAACAATGACCTGTTTTATTGAGATAAACAATACAGTGACTGCTACATTAGGAGATGCCAAATGCTGCAGTTCTGTGGGCATTCACTGCAGTATAAGGACCTAGCAGCAACTCCACAAAAACATCTCAATACTACAAAAACTGAAGCATTTTTAAAATGTTCTGAACAGTTCACAAACCTCAGCTTTATAAAGTTATAATTTTACTCTATCTTTAAAGTGTTCATTAAGTCAGGCAGTGGTGGTGCATGCTTGTCTTTAGCCCTCTAAAGACAGGTGGATCTCGGAGTTCGAGGCCAGTCTGATATAGTTCCAGGAGAGCCAGAGCTACACAGAGAAACTCTGTCTCAAAAAACCAAAATAAATAAATAAGTAAATAAAAATAAATAAACAAAATAAAATGTTCATTTAAAAAAATCTGAATGTTAGTTAACCTAAGATTACAAGCCAAATGTGTCATGGATGATCAATATAAGAAAACTAAACAGTTCCAGTATTTTTTTACATACTAACATGAAAAGGCATATATAATTAATGAGCAGTTTCTAATAATTTTTTTTCACTTAAGAAGATAGAGGATTAAAAAAAAATGTGTGTATACACACATACACACGCACGCACGCACCTACACACACATCCCACCCTAGGTGCCTGCCAAATCACACTGGTCCTGACCAGTACCTCTTTACATATAGTGAAAAACAGTATCCAGTTCCGGCTTACTTGGTCCATGCTCTCTGGAATGAACTCTCCTTCACTGTTGATGCTAGTGAATGACCCATTCCGGGCAATCTCGTGTAGTTCATCTGGAATGTATCCTGGGGGAGGGGAACTTCTATCTCTATTAGTGGGACCTCAAAAAGAAAAATTATAAGTTTTATTACTGTTAGCAAGCAAACTATTTTTTATTTCAATTAAATAGGTTATATTTATAACCACATAAAAATAACTCTAGCAAAATGAAATTTAGTGTTTACAAAAACTTAATCAGAATATTTAGGTTCAGAGATTTTTACAGCCTAAATTCACACTCTACAACCTCTAGAATATGCTAATTTATACCCAAGTTTTTCTGGCTGTTGACAACTATATCATGGGCCGATAACACACAAGAGAATCTTACAATAATACCACTGCTTTTGAATTTCCCAAGATAATTTGTATCCGCTAGTCTTAGTAAAAGAATAAGGGCTCTGGAATCAGGCATGGTCTAAATTCCAGTGCAGGTTACCATCTTAGTGTCTTTGGAAACTGGTCCGTTTTCACACCAATGAACAATGTACTCCATCACTTCTTGGTAAGAATGCTGTTGATGGTAAATTCATTTCCCACAAACACGTTATGCACATTCGGTGCCATGACAGTCTTTCTATTCACTCTCTTTAATCTTTAGAAACCTGAAGTGAGATTGCTTCTTAGTCATTTGGCTCCTATTTTGTATTTAGTATCCTGGATCTTATTTTTTATTACTTAAAACTATGCTTTTGTGGCAAGCTATATTCCTTGCATTTAAATCTCTCCAGGTGTGCTGCCAAATACCTTTAATCCGAGCACCCAAGAGGCAGAGACAGGCAGATCTCTTAAATTCAAAGCCAGCCTTATCTACATAGAGAATTCCAGATGAGCCAGCTTATACAATTAAGACCCTGCCCCACCCCAAAAAAACCCTTGTACTTTAAGAAAAAATGGAGGAGAGCCTGGCATTCATTTAGATAGTTCACTTAATTACTCACAACTCTTATGAAACAATAATCTGCCTTATTTTTACCTGGTTCACAGGAAACAATTCTTTATTAACAGAGTTTTCTTCTCTCCTTGCCGTTTTTTTTTTAAAGTGAACAGATATGTAAGTGGTGTAATCATTTAAATTCTATTTAAGTTTAAAGGAAAAAAGCATGTGTAAAGGGGTCCTTTGTTAAATAGGAGGAGGAGCAAGAGAACAGCTATTAGCTGTGCAGAGACCTCACCTGCTGTCTGACAAGGAGCGTGGGCTGAGTTTTGAGTCAGGGTTCATGTAGACTTTAACAGTTATGGCCACAGTCATCACAGCATCCTGACATTTTAATTCTATCTGGATACTCTTTTTTTTTTTTTTTTTTAATAAAAGAGCAATATACTCAACTACTAAGAGGAGACTGAGAAGGAAGGCAGCTATAAAAGTTCTTCTTCCGATTACTTGACAACTCTTAATTCTTAACATGCATTGTGATGGGCATGTTAACACACTCAGAAATTCTGCACAATTTTCAGTTTTTTTCTTATCCTGGCACCAAAGTCAAACAATAAAAACATTTACCAGTAGGTTAATATTGAGGAATTCAAAAATGGCAATTTAACTAGTGCATTTAAGCTTTTTCGTCTAACAACTGAAATGAAGTGCCTGTTTTCACTTTATTTCTACAAAGAAAGAAATGTACAGTTAGTAGCAACTGTGCCTCCAGTTTGAGAAGTGAAGCGTACTTTACAGGTGCTCTCTTTGTGGCTTTAGTCCCATTGTCCAAAGGCAAGGGCAAAGTTACTGGTTCACGGTCAGAGTGCCAGAATCTGAAGTCAGCTCAGGTAGTCTGTCACTGTTTTGTTTCGGTTTTTAGTACTATGACGTACATCTGAGTGAGCACAAGCCGTGTCTATTATGTCTCATCCCTGTGGGTTATATCTCTAGCTCTCTGAAATAGACTCATGAGAGACAAGACATTTTAAATAGAAAGATCATAAAACAGCCTGTCCCACAAAACAAAAGAACATCAACACGGGCTCTAGTCACTCACACGCTAATTTCATCTTCTCATCCGCTGTTACCACCCTTCTTCTAGGCGAGTCACTTCGAGATCTTCACCCAAACGTCTCACTCTGTCCTGCTCTCTTGCTTTCTCTTTTATTCCCCTGTCTCCCCTCTTCTACTTTCCCTTTCAAATCTATGCCTCAATCAAGAGCTCACGCTACCTGGAAAGACTACATCTCTGCCCTATCTGTTAAGAACATTTACATCAGCTGTTCTTTAAGCAACAAGACACTTTTATCTTGTCAATTTTTTTTTTTTGTATTTTTAATGATGCTTTAAGAATTTATTCTGTTACCTTTATTTATGTGTATGTGTGAGTCTACATGTATGCACGCACATGTGAGTGCCAGAAGAGGCCAGAAGATGGTGTTGGATCCCCTAGACCAAGAGTCACAAGTGGTTGTGAGCCATCTGACACTGGTGCTGGGAATCCAACTCTGGTCCTTTGCAAGAACAATAAACACTCTTAACCACTGAGTCAGCTCTTCAGCAACTTGTCAATGTTTTTTATGGCAACAAGCATGGAGGGTTCAGAACACCTCTGCCTACCCAGGCTCAATAAGGCCACCTCAAAATATAGCACATGGGATCTTTATTTCTTTATATCATAAGCTTAGGTATAAGGAATTCATTCTTTGTGATAAATAAAACTGGATACTAAGGAAGCAAAAACAACACAATCTAGTTGTTCTTAGCCCTTTTTATACTGTTGCATATTCTGGCAATATCTAAAACCCTAGAGAACTTAGAAACAAGAGTCCAGTCTACTCATTTCAATGTCTTAGTTACTTCCTCTATTTACTTGTATCATTAAAACCTCTTCAAGATTTTATTTGAATTCTTGAATATTAAAATCTCTGTATAAACAAGAACTTTAAATTGGATATTGCTAGTCCTACAATATGTGAAAATTAATTTCTCAGGAACAACAGTTAAGACAAAGTAGTTAAAGTACATAATTGCAGAAAGCATAGAGACAGGGTGCTATTTATCAGGGATATAGATCACATTATCTTACATTAAAAGATGAGAAGGATTTGAGAAATCACTCATTTCCTTATTCAGACCCTGGTTTTCTCACCTACTACAGACAGCCGCTTCTTCCTCTCTGCACCAAGTTGTGTATTACTCAAATCTTCTGATGACGGTGACGGCTCTAAATTAGCAGTCTAGAAGAGAAAGGGGCAGTAAATGCTATCTTCCCATTGATGCTTTCCATGGAACCCTCCTCTTACCAAAACACAGCCTAGCTGTTCTCCATTCTTGGTGGGTCTTTTCAAATCTACTCTTACAATTTTAATTTACCAGGAGAGTGGCCACAAGCCTACCACCCCAGCTAGCTGGAAGGTGAGAGCAAGAAGATCACTTGCAACCAGGAACAGAAAGGAAGAAAGCAAGAAAGGAAGAGAAGGAGGGAGGGAGGGAGGGAGGGAGGGAGGGAGGGAGGATGAAAGGAAAGTGGGTGGTTGAAGGGGGAGAAGATGAACAAGATAAAATATTTCAGGGCCAGTAAGATGGCTTAGCAGGAAAGCATACTTGCTGTCAACCCTGATGACCCAAGTTCAAACCCTGGAACCCAACATGTGGGAAGAAGAGAACTGATCTTCATACATGTGCCTGTGGCATGCACACACCTTACCCCATCCACACAAAATAAATGTAAAAGGCAAAAATAAAAAATGGACATTTCAATTCTAACATAATTTTCCCAAGCTGCCAGTTTCTATTCATTTCACATGTATAATATATTCTTATTTGTAACTCTGACTATGTAGTTTTGAGGAACAAGGATATTAAGCTACAGCAATCAAAGTATATGAATTCACATTCCATAAATTAAAATATATTCAGTGATTACAAGTCTTATAATCTTCAGTGAGAAACACAACCCCAATTCATACCTGTGTATTTCCATTTGTTACAAGTAATATCTTGAGACTCTTCATATGAATACTCCGGTCCAGCAGTTCCACAGCTTTGTCTAAGTCATCTTGAGTAGTTAACGGAATTACCAACTTAAAAAAAAGAGACAGGAATCATGCAGACATCATACCAGGTCAAGCCCTTCCATTACTGGGGAACTGTCCATTTCAAAACACCTTGTACTCTATTACTACAATGGAAGTCTAAGGAGTATACGCATCTCTATCCTCTATTCCAATACCACTAAAGTCTCAGAATGATGGTAAAGAATCAAAATGGGCTCTGTTCCACTTTTCCTCCCACGAGGTATGAACCCTTGACACACTTCTCTCTCTCTCTCTCTCTCTCTCTCTCTCTCTCTCTCTCTCTCTCCCTCCCTCTCTCTCTCTCTCTCTCTCTCTCTCTCTCTCTCTCTCTCTCTCTCTCTCTCTCTCTCCTATCTTTCTCTTCATCTCTCTATTATAATACACTCTCCATGTGGAAAAAAAAGTCAAAATGGTTCCCTTATTGATCATTACCTTCTAGTAAATATATCTAAAAATTAATTTTCTGTGATATTTTATAACATTGCTAAATTTAAGATATAGTAAGTATATTTATGCTAAGAACACTGAAGGGTACATACACAAATTATTTAAAATAAGGTACTACTTTTCATCTGCACAAATAAAATTCTTAGTTCTTTTTTCTAGTAGCAACCACAGGTTTACACTCTGCCTGGTGTGTTTACAATGTAACAAACCTTGAGTATCAGTGACAGCTGCCAGGGGAAGGTATCATCAGCCACGTATCTGCAATCTACAGTTCACCTGTATTCACCTCTGGTCCTGGTAACTGACCACTACACTCTAGAACAAGTAAGCTAAACAAGTAATCATCTCAGGGACTCCTCAGTGTGAAATCTACCTTCATTAGTACTCTCTCATAGCTAAGACGTTAGGAAGGACAAAAGCACCCAAGAGGCCTATGAAAAAAGTATGATTCACATAATTAACAAAATCAAAATCTCTTATTGTTTTACATAGAAACTTTCTCGCAGCTTAAGAGGATTGTCAATGATATAAAAGTATGTATCCTTTCATTGGAAGAGGAACAGAGTGAAAACAAATGGACATATGCCGCCACACTTAGTAACCATCTTCAAAAAGCAAAGCATGTGAAACATATTTAAATGTAAAGTCTACTCAGCTGAGAGTCCTCTGCAGTATAAACCCCTGAAGATAGGGTCTCTTCCAGCAGAATAGCCAAGAGCAGGCAGCCCCTTGGCAAATGCTGTTCAGTACATATCACAGGGTGAGCACTAGAGGTGCACCCAAACGCAGGAACTATCATGGTATGTAATCACATTCTGTAGAGCGTTTTATGAAAAGTGTCTTTTTTTTTTTTTAAGATTGACAGAAGTTTAAGGCCATCCTAAGATATATAGTGAGTGCCAAATCAACCAAGGTTACATGACAAGATTCTGTCCCCCAAAAAGTTAATTAATAGAAAAAGAAAAAAGGAAAGCTGCCAAGTGTAAATATAAACCAGGACTACTTTGAACTGTCTTATACTCTGCTTACATTTGTCTATTTTGTATTTAAATTTTTATTCCCAATTTCTATTGGCAGCTAATTTTGTGTTAGGACACATCATCTTAGTCTCATTTCCTACTGCTGATAAAATACCCTGGGAGTGAGAGGGAAGGGAAGAAGGAATGGGCAAAGGGGTGGGAAGGTAGGGTGTCTGTTTCCCTGAGAATCATGTTAGGAGATAATGGTTCAAGGTCAAGTTATTCATATGGAAAAGAATCTAGGTAAGAGATTGGGGAAATGGGGCTGGCCAAATGAAAAGTGCATTCTCCAGAGCGCTGCTCCTTTAGGATAGTCAATCATCTACCCCTCTATGTGCTTCACCCGTGTCTACATCTAGAAAACCCAAAGAACCCCAGGCTGGCTGCTGAAAATCTGGCCAGTATGATACAGTACCCAGAAAAGACTGGGTAAGACTTTTCATATGCTTATGAATAATTAAAACCCCAAATTAACTGAAAAGTAAAATGTCAAGATATTGCTATAGTACAATATTGATTACTCTGTTCAGAGATCCTGTTTAAGATACAGGTTTGTACTTAGGAAAACATGTTCTTCTGCCTTCTTGGGACTCCTATGCAGGTCCGCTGTGACTCTGTGTCTGTAAGCTGATGCAGGCAGAAGGGGCTGACACAGGCTGGCTGGTGTTGCTGCAGCCCCTGGAGCTCCCAAAGCAATGAACTGTCTTGTATGCGGCAGAGAAAGTATTCTATGTTGCACATAAGCATTCAGACTGTGCTGTTTGTCTTCCATGTTTAAAAGAGTGTTTTCATCTCTGAGCTATTCTGAAGTATTTTATTTGCATGGGGCTCCATGTGTTTTCTTAGACGAAGTTTTTCTATGACTTCTCTTGTCACCCCATCCCCACTGGGACACCTTCTAGTCACACTGTTCTCAAGCTGATCCATCTTCCACTCTTCCCTTGAAACTGTAGGGTTGCCTTGAAATACGAAATCTCTGCATAAATAGTACCTCAGCTAGTTTTTCCTTAATAGCATCAAGAGGATACTCACTGACTTTTTTGGTTTGGGGTTTTTTGAGACAGGGTCTCTACAGAGACCAGGCTGTCCTGGAACTCACCATGCCTGCCCGCCCCTGCCTCCAACCTGCCTCTGCCTCCCAAGTACTGGGATTAAAGCATGCACCACCACTCCCAGCTTTGACTTTTATTCATTGTCACAAGACTATGCATCTCCTTTAAAAATCTTCAGCTCACTTACTGTCTGCTTCTTCTGCAAATCGGTAATGCCTACCCCATAAAAGGCCGCAACTCATAAATCATTAACATTAGGTCAATAAAAAGTTTTTCCAAAGAGTAAAAAAAATTTTTAAATTTTAAGATCCCACAAACAGTAAGAAAGTCCAGTTACCATCTAATACAATTCTAATCTCAAGATTAAAAGGGGTTTCCCAAAAACATAATGAGCCCTCAAGGCCACATGTACTGACTCCAAACATAAATAAGATGACTCGGTGGTTAAAAGCACTAGCTACTCTTCCACAGGACCAGGTTCAATTTCCAGCATACAAATGGCAGCTCGCAACTGTCTGTAACTCCAGTTCCAGGTATCTGGTGCCCTCACACCGATACACATGCAGACAAAACACCAATGCACATAAAAATAAACAAAAAATGTTTTTCAAATATAAAGAGGAATAAAAAAGCATCCTAAGCAGTATCACAATGATCCTAAGTTTTAATGAAGTTGTCTGACTCCCAGAGCTCTATGGGCCCCAAGAAAGTAAATTGACTGAGTACATAGAGTAAAAGGAAAAAAAATGAAAGAGAAAGCCACAAGGTGATGCCCATTTCCTCCTACTACATATTCTCAATCAATCATTTGCACAGTAGCACGTCCACTTAATATGGTAAAATTTACAAATCTGTCATGTTTCTCCATCTAATGTACCACTCCTTTACTAACTAGCCACCAAATAAAAACACAATCTCTTACGCGAACACATTAATTTTCCAAGATAAAAACTACTAAGAGTGAAATGGCACATGTTTACCTCGTTGTTGGTATAGTGCAGATCCATAGACTGCCCAAAGGCAACTTTAGACTTAGACCTCAGATCTTCTAGTTTAACTGGTCTGGTAACCTGCAGGATTCTACATGAAAATAATTTTGAAATATTTTATTTTGTTTGTCATAAACAATATACTTACAACAGTTCTATTTGTTATATGAAAAAAATTAAAGGGCTGAAGAGATGGCTCAGCAGTTAAGAACACTGGCTGCTCTTCCACAGGTCCTAGGTTCAATCCCCAGCACCCACATGACAGCTCACAACTGTCTTTAACTCCTATTCCAGGGGATCCAACACCCTCACACAGACACACACGCAGACAAAACACCAATGCACATAAAAATAAATTTTTTTAAAAAGCTAGGAGGTGGTGGCACACACCTTAATCCCAGCACTCAGGAGGCAGAGGCAGGCAGATCTCTGAGTTCAAGGCCAGCCTGGTCTACAGAGGAAGTTCTACGACAGTCAGGGCTACACAGAGAAACCCTGTCTCGAAAAAAAAAAAGAAAGAAAGAAAAAGAAAAAAGAAAAAAAAGAAAGTAAAAATTATAACACACTTTTAATAAAATACAAAAATTTTCAATATAAAATTTAGAATAGAACCAGTAAAATTTGTTCTATGCTAATTATAATTTTTAAAAGAAAAGTTTTAAATTTATAATCACATAAATATTAAGACCAGTGTAAAGTATCCACTTAGGAAAATAAATTTAATTAACTATGTGACATATGTGTAACAGAACACAATGAAATTGTTAATAATAATAAGAATCCATCCTGTAGAGATCAAAGTTTAATTTCTGGACCCTTATCAAGTCACCATTTTAGCACACACACTATACAAGCATCTCTAGGACATCTTCAAGGGACTGCAGTGAAACAAACACATGATGACGGTATTTACTTCTTTTGTTCCTACGGCCTGGCCAGCTCAGAGGACGTGCACTAAGTCTAGAGGGTACCATGTTAGAATTACCACTTCTCGGGGAAGAAGGCAGTTCCGTGCTCACTTTATGTAATCTCAGGGTCTCTCACATATGAAGGACAGAGCTAAGGGAATGGAAAAGCTAGCAAATACCCAGCAAATAATCTCAAACAAGGAATACAGTAGATACTAGTTTTACAGTTTGTCAGGCATACTTTTTTTCAGTATCTCTGGTGAATTGTGTTCACATCTTCAAGTTATATGACTTCTGAGCCATTTTATTTTATTTTATTTTATTTTTAAACATTTTTTTTAAAGATTTATTTATTTATTACGTATACAGTGCTCTGTTTGCATGAATCCCTGCAGGCCAGAAGAGGGCACCAGATCTCATTACAGATGGTTGTGAGCCACCATGTGGTTGCTGGGAATTGAACTCAGGACCTCTGGAAGAGCAGCCAGTGCTCTTAACCACTGAGCCATCTCTTCAGCCCTTTGTGAGCCATTTTAAATTCCTGAAGACTGACAGGCCTTCAGAAACATCCTGAGTCACTAATAACAACAACAAACTGTACCTTCTGTAACTCCTATTAGGTCTTTTTATCAGCTACTTTGCCCTGAGGTACAGATACCAAGACATAGAAGGCTAGGCTTACACTCCTGCTACATAAATAGCCTGAAGCCACCATTCCAACTCACTTAGACAACATTATTTACAAAATACATGTCACAGCATCCAAATCTCTTGAGAACAGTCAAAAATTTTACTCGGTAAAAATAAAAGTAAACACTAAAATTTTAAAGTGTGCATTATAAGGTAATCTTATTTACTTTCCGATTTTGCAAAGCAGCACATTCAGTATTTCCAATGGTTAGCAGGCATTTTGACATATTCTATTTCTCCTCAGTCTAGGTGAATGTCACACATTACCAAAGACTATTCCATTCTTAATTTCAAACCCCAAACTTCACTCAAATCTAAAAAGATTCTTTAATAGCTTAATTGGAATATACATTTTATTATATAATTTAATTGATGTGTAATGTTTCCTTACCTTTTTTCTCCTCTATGTTCAAATTTGACTCGGACATCATTCTATAATAAAATGAAGATATCAGTCATAATCGTGCAGAGACCAGATAAATTTGAAGTCATTTCTTCTTTAGCCTACTCATTTAACACGGAGAAGAAAGGGGGTTTTACTTTCAAGGTGTAATTCCAATCACCTGATATCTGCCAAAAAAACTGAGCTGAGAATTACTCTGTTAGATCTGACAACAGGAAAGAGCACCAGTATCTCCTCGTGCTCGAATGACCTGAACCTAAGGACATACAGAATGCTACACTGTAGACCTTCCTCCTCTATATGTTTCAAGGCCTCTGAACATGTTTGTTGGTTTGCTTGTTTTTCCTTATTAAGTTCAGAACTTTCTCCTTTTCTCTTAAAGGAAGAACTTTAGAGTTTCTTTTCTGCATATTCAAATCGTCAGTATTTTTACTCTCAGATTTCGGTAGTCAATTCCCTAAGTTAAACAGCTTCTAGGTAACAAACAGATGGGTAGCATATACAACATGGACCAACACACACAGAGGTATAATTCATGTCCGAAGCAAGTAGAACAGGACGGTGTGAGATTTCATTATGCTACTTCAAATGGCACAGAATTTAACACTTATGATTTGCTTATGTCTACAACATGACATCTGCTGTTTTCTGACCTAAGCTGACCATGAGTAACTGAAACCACGGGAAGGAAAGACAGCTAAGGGGACTCTAATATTTCTACTTTCCCTGCTTGCTATCTCATACTAATCCTGTTTATAGGAATCAAAATCACCACATTTCTAAGTATCCAGAAGAGACTTATTTTATCTTAGATGCTTGAAGAATAGATGAAACAGAAACTTAAGCACTTGTCATATAGCTTTTTAAAAATGTATTCATTTTTTGTCATTATTTCTTCAATATTCTACCTATACATAGCATTTATATTGTATCACATAGTAAAGGTAAATACAAAATTTAAAATGAAAATGTATAAGACAATGTACTAAACACAACGTGTGATTCAAAGTATAAAAGAAGTCCTTACAAGATCAGGCTATGAAAGTAATTCATAGAACAACAAAATACACTTATTAAAATATTAATGATATTGGGACTAGAAAGATGGCTCAGAGGTTCAGAATACATCTAACACAAGTTCAATCCCTAACATCCATGTCAGGCAGCTCACAACCACCTCTAACTCTAGCTCTAGGGGGACCCGGTATTGCTGGTCTCCACAGGCACCTACAATTTCATCCACATACCCACACAGACACACAAATACACATAATTTAATATTAATAAAAATGAAATCTTTAAAGTAATACTGAAATAGATACCTGTTTTTTTGGTGATGAAGGTTTTGCTTTTCTGGTTTCCTGTAGAGATAATGCTGGCCGACTGGCCTTATGAAGGACAGCCAAATCTTGCATGATAGAATTCAAAGCTTGCTGATCATCTAGGTATTTTTAAAAGAACACATACACAAAACTGTGATTTCAACATATATTTATCATAGACATCAAGCAGAATTTATAATGGAATTTAATTTAAAAATGAGTTAGCTGGACTGGAGAGATGGCTCAGCAGTTAAGAGTGCTTGCTGCTCTTTCAGAAAGAAGATCCAAGTTTAGTTCCCAGCACTCACACTGAGCGGCTTACAACCACCTGTGACTCCAATTCCAGGAACCCTGTGCACTCTTCTGGCCTTTATGGGCACCCATACACATATGGAACATACTCACAGATAAAATAAATCTGTTGCTGTTGTTTTTGCTGCTGTTGGAGACAGGGTCTCTCTATGTAGCCCTGGCTGTCCTGGAACTCACTATGTATATAAGGCTGGCTTTGAAATCACAGAGATCCACCTGCCTTTTTTATAAAATAAAATGCTGTGTGACAAGTAAATTAAAAAAAAAAAAAAAAAAGAGCCCACCTCTGGGAACAACTAACATCAAACTGCATAAGACTCAAGCTCAACATAAACTAAGTGTCCACACGAGACATTTATTTTTGTTTTAAATATTATTTTATTGTATTTGTTTTTAATTGTGTATATGTATGTGTTTGTGTGTGGATGAGTGTATATGAGTGCAGAGGCCAGAGATGTCAGGTCCCCTAGAGCTGGAGTTATAGGTGGTTGTGAGCCATCTAATGTAGGTGCTGGGACAAGAACTCAGGTCTCCTGGAAGGGCAGCATGTGCCCTTCCTTCACTGCTGAGCTCTCGCCAAGCCCTACACGAGGCATTTATAAGGGAAGTAAATGTCATTCTAATTCATTTAGTGATTTAACATCCTGAGTTAAAACAGGCCAGCTAGAACAAATTCTTTTCTATGACTCCCAAACAAAACATCAGATGTCAAAAACCTTAATAAAAATGAGGGAAAATAAACCTTGTGTAAATACCACCTTCCGTTAGCGTTTCTATTGAAAATGCAGACTTCACTTTTGAGATGTGCTCCTGTTGCTGATGCTTGGAGGAAGAAACAGAAAGGCCCCTCTGTGGACACTGCACTGCCTACTAATACTCCAAAAGAAAGTTCTCCTCCCAAAGACTACAAATATAAAAGTATTTATCAGGCTGGAGAGACGGCTCAGTGGTTCAGAGGACCCAGGCTCAATACCCAACATCCACATGGCAGCTCACAACTGTCTGTGACTCCAGTTCCAGGGCTTCTGACACCCTCACCCTCTACAGACATATATGTAGACCAAAAAAAAAAAAAAAAAAAATCAATGCACATAAAATAAATAAATAAATCATTAAAATAAGTAAATAGAAGTATTTTTTTTTTTTTTTTTTTTTTTTTTTTTTTTTTTTTTTGGTTTTTCGAGACAGGGTTTCTCTGTGTAGCTTTGCGCCTTTCCTGGTACTCGCTTTGGAGACCAGGCTGGCCTCGAACTCATAGAGATCCGCCTGCCTCTGCCTCCCGAGTGCTGGGATTAAAGGCGTGCGCCACCACCGCCCGGCCAGAAGTATTTTTTATCAAAGACTAATAGCAATGTAAATAACAATGTAGAGCTGGAGAGATGGATCAGCAGTTAAGAGCACTGGCAAATGGTCATTCCAAAACTATAACAACATAAAAAGTACTTCAACTCAAAACTGCTTTGCCTCGCTTTGGTTTTGGTGGCACCTGTGACTGAACACAGGACCTCACATATGCTAACTATTCAAGCATTCTACTTCTCCCTAAGCCTTAAAATCCATTAAGTAAAATATTAGCTAAATCTCCTATATCACATATATAAATATATTGTATCACAAAGTCTAAATAAAGTTTATTATAAGATATTTCTCCCTCATCCATTTCTTTAGTTATAAATATTTTTTAAATGCTTTTAGCTTAAACTTACCCATTATGACGACCAGCTCAATAATTTGGGAAAAAGGAAAATGGTTCTCTCATCAACATTCTTTATTGCCTTAAAAGGAAAGAAGACAAACACATTAATTAATAAAAACCAGAAGAGGCAATCACAAAAAGGAAAATAATGGTACAACTGACACTAATGAAAGATATGTGTGTACACACTAGAAATAATTTGAGTTTTTTTCAGAATACCTAACGTTAGGACCTGATTTTGTAGGTACCCTTCCCTAACACACTAAACTTCCAGGATCTAAGAAAAGTAGGTGATCAGCAGCAAACATATTGTTTGTATAAACGGCTTTGACACAACGAGCCCTTATCACAACCCTCCTCAAATCTCAGCTCCCAGGTGCCATTTTGTGATCAGGACTTTCTAACAGCATGCATTCTTCCTATGAAAACAGCAACCTCTATGTTTAGGTTATGATCCACCTATTTAGACACTTAGTAAAAACACTGAAAATGTACTTAGTACTTTAATCAACTGACCTTTCCTGAAACCATACTGTTCTGAGTTACATCTTTAAGTGTACTACTGTGCCAGAACCTTACCAATATATATGAAATTTAGAAAGATAGGTACCAAAACACCAGCACAATACTTGTATATTTTTAGCATCATACAGAACCAAAGTTCCAGGAACTAAATACCCCAGAGCTTCTGTGTTCTATTCCTTCAGTCATTTCAAACACTGAAGGGCTGCTCTTCGTTACCACTCTATGTTTACATCTCCCACACGCACACACATACACACCAGGTTTGTTCAGTCACTGATAATTTTTTTTAACAAGTCTTATGATGATTATTTAATGACTTTCTATGTCTTCTTCTGTGCTGTTATGGGAAACCTCCATTCTGAAAATCTACTTTGTTACAGAAGCACATATCTTCAATAATGTCTCCAAACAAACAAACAAACAAACAAAAAGCCTATATAGTTCTGGGCATAGCAGTACATGCCTTTAATCCCGGCACTTAAGAGGCAGAGGTAGGCAGATCTTTATAAGGTGGAGGCCAGCCTTGTCTACAAAAAGAGTTCCATACTATCAGAAGCTGTTTTCCAACTTCTTAGTTGTTTGAATTATGATTTTCCCCTTCTTTCCCCAACCTCTCTTGAAAGAAAGGAGGGAAGGAGAGAGAGAGGGAAGGAGGGAGGGAGGGACGAACGGATGGATGGATGGAGGGACGGATGGACGGACGGACGGACGGACGGACAGACGGATGGGGTTCTGCAAATGAACTGAGGCAAATATCTAATAGCTATGTAACTTAGTAATAGGGCACTTGATAATTTGTTTTCTTATATAATAAGTAAAATAGCAATGTGTATTTTTCAACCATATTATTTATATTGCCTGGGAACGTATGATTATCGTTTTGTGGGAGAAATAATTTCTCAGTATTCACCAGCTTGTAAAACTAAGTTTAAGAGCTTACACATATAAACAAACAATGAAATGTTGTTTCATATTAGTAAAAGGAAACAAAATGTCCATTAGCACTTCATCATCACTCTCCACATTGCACCGTCATGTGCTTCAGAATCTCATCTCCGGCACGGCTGTGACATGGGCATGCCATTTCGAGTTTCACTTCACACTACCGTTCTTTTCATCCTATCAGACTTGGAGAAGCATCCTTTCCTGTAACAGCCACTACCGACAAGCAAACTGACAATCCCCAGATATACCTCTGGTGTCTAGATGGAACTCAGCTTTCCATTACCTAAGTATTACCATTGTCAGCCACCTGCCGAGGTGGCCAAAAAGTCCAGGACGGCTTCTCTGAGTCTCCAGATTAATTATGTGAAAAGGCTGACTTATTTAACATCTAATTTATTACACAATTATAATCTCTGATATAGCAATATGCTGAGAAGATGAGGCTCTTGGTCATTAATTTTATCTATTTACAGGATTTCCTCACAAGATTGTCAGATTATCAAAATGGAAAACCTCATAATCACAGGACATTGAAGCAAGTACGCAGAAGCATTTGGGGGCAATTTTGCACAAAAACAAATAAATGCTGTTTTAATTCTACCTAACAATCTTAAAATTCTTAAAGAGAAGCAATATAAACAGGCCCAGAAGTGACACACTGGAGAAATAGTATACAATGTCATGAATTCTTCTGCTAGCTTATATTCAAGGAGATGAATGAGAGGCGTTAAGTGGCTTAGAAGTTTGTTTTATGTTTTGGGTTTTGTTTTGTATTGATATGCTTTGTTTTGTCACCCTGGGGATTGAACCTAGGGCCTTGCAAATGCTAAGGAAGAGATCTACCACTGAGCTACATCACTCATGCTACAAAAAAAATCAATAGAAGGTCTACATATGAACACCACACACAAATAAGTAAATGTGATACAAAGGAAAAAAATCATATATAAAGGAACAGCAGCAAGGATGAACAGTAGAATTATCTTTAAACCACCTAAAAAACTACCAACCCCAACCACCCTTCCCAAAGACAACAAGGGAAAGAAAAACAGAAGACAAAAACCTGCCAACCTGGAAGTCTAGGCTGTACAGAAAGGGTGTAGGTACAAGCGCACACATACTAAGATAACAGTGCATGGGTACAGGCCGGAGGACAGCTTGCAGGAGCTGGTTCCTCTTTGCACCTTGTGCAATCCTAGAACCTGGAAACAACCTTTTCAAAAATAAGAGAGAATAACTTAAAAGTAAGAGAAAAATAAAGACGTCCAGACATTAAAAATAAAACAAAACAACCTAAAGGAACTCACAACTAATGAGTTTGTTCCAATGAAGAACAAAATAGTCAAGAGGTTCATTTGAGCAGAAGGAAAGCTGAAGCAATGGCTCAGCAGTTAAGACCACTTATCCTTGCGGAACACTCTGGTTCTACTGTATGTAGTTTTAATGAGAATGACCCTCAGAGGCTTGTGTGAATGCTTAGTCCTTAACTGATACAAATCTGGGGGAAGGATTAGGTGTGGCCTTACTGGAGGAGGTTGTCACTGGGAGTGAGGTTCAAAAGCCCAAGTCATTCCTAGTTAGTTCTCTCACTGGCCTGCTCTCTCTCCTCTCCCCCCACCTCTCTCTGTATGTCTCCTGTGGATCAGATGTAAGCTCTCAACTACTGCTCCAGCACCATGCCTGCCTGCTGCCATGGCTCTCCACCATGATGGTTATGGACTTGCCCTACGAAACTATAAACAAGCCCCCAATTAAATGCTTTTTTTTTTTAAGTTTGCTTGGTCAAACAAAAACTTCAGCAGTAAGCATGTGTGTGTGTGTGTGTGTGTGTGTGTGTGCGCGCGTGCGCGCGCTGCGCGCGCGCGCGCACACATATAATAAAAGGGAAGATAGACTCTTAGGCATTGAAGAAAAGATACAAGAAATGGATAACTTGGTGAAAGAAAATTTTAAATATAAAAAAAATCCAGGCAAAATGTCCAGGAAATCTGGAAACCCATGAAAAGACAAAAATTTAAGAATAATAGCAATAGAGGAAGGAGAAAAGCACAGGTTAAAGATACGGAAATTATTTTCAACAAAATCATAGAAGAAAATTCCCCTGACCAAAAGAAGGTGTTTATCAAGGTACAAGAAGCACACAGAACAGCCGGGCGGTGGTGGCGCACACCTTTAATCCCAGCACTCGGGAGGCAGAGCCAGGCGGATCTCTGTGAGTTCGAGGCCAGTCTGGGCTACCAAGTGAGTTCCAGGAAAAGGCACAAAGCTACACAGAGAAACCCTGTCTCGAAAAACCAAAAAAAAAAAAAAGAAGAAGAAGCACACAGAACACCAAACAGACTGGACCAGAAAAGATATTCCCCATGATACATAATAATCAAAACACTAAATGTACAGAACAAAGAAGAACATTAAAAATTGGAAGGGAAAAAGACCAAATAACATATAAAGGCAAACCTATTCGAATAACACCTGACTTCTCAATGAAGACTCTAAAAGCCAAAAGGGTCTGAGCAGATGCTCTACAAATGCTAAGAGATCACAGATGCAAGCCTAGACTACTGCATCCAGCAAAACTTTCTATCATAATAGATGGAAAAAGAAAAGCATTCCACAATAAAACCAACTTTAAGCAGCTCTATCTATAAATCCAACCCTACAGAAGCTTCTAGAAGGAAAACTTCAACCTGAAGAGGCTAACCACACCCAAGAAAACACAAAGAATAAATAATCTCAGACTAGTTAATTAAAAGAAGGGGAGAAAAGAAACCCACACTACCACAACAACATAATGTGAATCAACACTGCTCATTTATAACTCTCAACGTCAGTGGTCTCAATTCCCCAATAAAAAGACACAGACTAATAGACTGGATTAGAAAACAGGATCCATCATGCTGCTGCATCCAATAAACACACCTTAACATCAAGGATAGACATCACCTCAAAGGATGGAAAAAGATATTCCAAGCAAACGGATCTAAGAAGCAAGCCATTTTACTATCTGACAAATCAAACTTCAAACCAAAACTAATCAGAAGAGACAGGGAAGGTCACTACATACTACTCATCAGAAGAAAATCCAACAAGAAGATGTTGCAGGGTTGTTTGTTTGTTTTTTCCGAGACAGGGTTTCTCTGTGTAGCTTTGGAGCCTGTCCTGGATCTCACTCTGTAGACCAGGCTGTCCTTGAACTCACAGAGATCTGCCTGCCTCTGCCTCCCAAGTGCTGGGATTAAAGGCATGTGCCACCACCACTGCCTGGCTGATATTGCAGTTCTTAAAATCTATGCACCAAACACACAAGAACACCCAAGTTCACAAAAGAAACACTACTACAGCTTAAAACACATATCGACCTTCACACAGTGAAAGCATGTGACTTCAATAACCCACTCTCCCCAATAGACAGGTCATTCCGACAAAAACTAAACAGAAAAATGCTGGAGCTGACATCAAAAGCCAAATGGACCTAATATATTTATAGAACATTTCACCCAAACACAAAAGAATACACCTTCATCTCAGCAGCACACAGAACTTTCTGCAAAATTGAACACATACTTGGACACAAAGCAAGTCTCGACAGATTAGAAGACTAAAGTGACA